AGCCTTAGGGCACTCATACTACATATATAATTGTACCATATTGTTTAGGCAATAATGACCCCCCCCCAAAAAAAATAAGAGCCTGTATATGTTTAGGACAGGCACAAATTTTTTATGAAATATTTTTGATCCAAGGTAGGCTTGGTTGCATCTACAGTTACAGAGTCCAGAAGTATTTCTGGATCTGATCTGATTAAATTCCTTCAGCATTTGGACTTTCACCAGAAAGCTTGTATCTAAGAAAGCCACTCTCACTACTACTCCTGCTGTCTCCATACATCGCTGACAAACCATGCATCATTTCCCCTCTCCTAACATTTGATCTTCACAACCCCTCTTCAAGATCGACGGGCAAGCAATCTTTGGGTCTTCCTTTAAGACCCTCCAAAACCCTCCTTCTTATTCCATTGTGCATAAGCACCTGCATCTGAGGAGCTCGTGTTGTAATTTTGAAATGCTTGTAACCAAAAATAAAAGGAACAGGAGAGTTTAAAATGATAACAGAGATAGGGAAATACTGCTTAATTTAACTGTGATTATAGTGTCACATGCACACATACATACATACTATATATTACTATCTGTGAAATACTGTAATTACACATACTAATAGAAATGGACTTTGAAGACTCAAGGTCAAAAGCCTGCTTGGAAACTTAGCGGGAAGTTGGGCAATTAACCCCACCTCTCTGGGCCTCCGTTTCTGCATCTGAAAAGCAGAGGCTATAAAAGCACAACCTCCTGAGACTGAAGACAGTTGGTTTGATGCTGCGGGTGAAAGGCTGGTCCAGAGCCTTGAATGAAGTCAGGGCCCAGATACTGGCCATTAGTTATCAGGGTTCACTGCAGAAAAGAGTGAAGAACAAACACACACACCCATCAGGGGTGCCACCAACATGAACAAACACTTCTAGTACTCCAGGATGTCTTCAGGAGAAGGTGAGACATTTTGCTACGTCCCATGCCACCTGCTCCCCCAACCCCGCCCAGAGACACAGGAAGTGCTCTGACGGCCCAATCCCCCCCTCGGGTGGGACAGTCCGGCTCTCTCAGGCACCTTGGAAAATTCTACAGACCCTGAGAAACAGCCGCCCGCACTCCCTCAGCACAGCCCGGGCTCTGCGTTCACACGGAGGGGATGAGAGGAGCTGGTGCATGGGGCGCTGTTCCCTTCTCCCCCAGCCTGTCCATGTGTGCATGGAGTCTGCGATAACAGGATAGACAGTAACGGCACCTGCCTCCCCGGCACCTGCAGAGAAGGCACGGCTGGGACATTCTGTGACAGGCAGACGTCAACCTGCGGGCCTTACGTGCAGCTCTGTCACATCCACGCCACCTGCATCTACAGCGATGGGACAGCCAGGTAGGTCTGCGAAGGAAGGGAAGGGAAAGCCCTTCACAAACCATGGTCACTGTTCACTGACAGCGGGGAGAGCATCTGGCCAGTGGGTCATTGGAGCCCCATGAAAGGTACATGGCTGGACAGACACATAGGCTTCTAGAACCACAGCTGTCTGTGGCCATCTGCCTGTTCTGATGACTTTGTATGGCCAATAAGGCTATTCGTATCCAAATGGCCTTGGCAAGACAAAAGATTCCTGACCCCTAACGGGAGTCAACCCATATCTAAACTCTTTAAACCAAGGCCTCTTCTTCCCCACTGTCAGTATATGACTTTTGTGAAAGAATCTCAGACTACATGACATTCATTCAAATCGCATTACTCCTTGCTTTCACATTTAACAACTGTGTGACCTTGGGCAAGGTGCTTTGCCTCTCTGAGCCTTACTTTCCTCAGTAGTGCTGATGATACCATCAGCACCCGGTACTGGGGTCTCTCACATCCTAAATGTCCCATTGAATCAACCATAGTTATCAACAAATGGAAAGGAAATCACAAAAACTGGCTCTTTTACTCTCTAAAACTGCTATTCATAGGGCTCCCTTGTCAAAAAAAAAATACCTCTATTTTGTTGGTTGTGGGGCTTGAACTCTGGGCCCGAACTCTGGGCCTGGGCACTGTCCCTCAGCTCTTCAGCTCAAGGCTAGTGCTCTACCACTTGAGCCACAGTACCACTTCCAGCTTTTTCTGCTTATGTGGTGCTGAGGAATTAAACCCAGAGTCTCATGCATGCAAGGCAAGCACTCTACCACTGAGCCACCTTCCCAGTCCCTCAAAAAACATCTTTCATGACACTGAGTGTCACCAATGGACAGATGTAATCCTTCAATGGTGTCTCATATTGTTATGGGCTTGGCAGGGGAGGGAATAGAAAATGTTCCTCCCTGGGAGTATGGGGCCAAGGCAGGAGCCACCAGAAGTGCCCCGGAGAGCACAGTTATTTGTTCATTGTTTGGGTCAGGTGTCACTGCCCCCCCCCCCCTCCACACACACACACATACACCAACTACAGAGTCCAGGCTACAGAAGACCAGGAATGAGTCTTTCCTTTCTTCCTCCGACATTGAGAGCTATGATCCGTCACCCACGGCTGACTCTGCACATGTTATATATTACCTTAGGTAACTCAGGGTTGGAATAAATGGACTAGTTCTTCAGTTGGACACCAGTATGTAGTTCCACTATGGTTTTAGTCCTTGAGTATGAAATTTCTAATTCTTGTGCAGCACATATGTCCATTTGAGGGAGGACATGCAATAAGAGTAGAGCTCCCCGGGTCCCCAGCATCCATCAATTAAACGGATGAGTATGGCAAAAGCATCGTGACAGAACATGGTTTAGAGAAAGGCGCAAAGGGAACGTGAGTCAGCAAATTACAAACAGGGAGAGAAGCCTCAGCTGACCACCATTTTCAAGGATTTTTGAGATCTAGCATATAGATAGAGCCCACCCTTCCTGAGGCAGAGGTTGTTAGGAAAAATGGAGAAGAGCAGAAAAGGAAGAGACCAGACTTGATTCTCAAAAGGCTAGGACTGCTTACTGCCACCATGTGTTTGGAGGTTATACAAGGGCCTGGAGTTGGGGTCCCCCTTAGATGGGCCTTAACAAGGAAACAAAGGAGTGAAAATCAGGCTGTAGTTAGGGGGGTGGGGGACACACAGTGGAACCTAGGGATAAGTACTTTTAGGTGGGTTGAGTATGGAACGTCCCTCTTGGAGTGAGGGAGACTTCTGGCTGATCCCAAGCAGCTGAGTGCACACCTGGCGTTTTGTTTGGCCTGGGGATTAAGGCGGGAGTCAATACTTCAGAGGTAATAACTAGCACCAAGCAGAAAGCTGTAAAGAGACAAGGTCTGGTGCAGTAAGAGCGGAAAATATGCCAGCTCCCGAGCCTTGTGGTGTTTCAGAGGCTCTGATGAATACTGCAAACGCATCCACTGTTTGAATCTTTAGGCCAGCCTTAGGTGGGAGGTGTCAGACACCTTCTCCAGATACAGGGTCATACAGCTGCTAAGTGGGCCCTAGATCCTCACACAGGGAATCCTGACCATTCCCCCACCCCCGCAAACACCCATTGGTCCTTCACCCATTAGCTGCTTTCTCCACAAGAGCTGTCAAGCCACTAGCATGAAGTGGCTCCTTCCTGATCGGCTCTTTCCTGCGTGGTTGGCACTCGTGTCTCTCTGGCTGATTTCATGTCTTCTTCACAGCTGCGTTTGCAAGGAAGGCTATGAAGGGGATGGGGCTCTCTGTTCCTTCTCAGACCCATGCAAGGGACCAACTCGGGGAGGCTGTAGTCATAATGTGAGTATTGCTGTGGTCTAAATTTCCAAGCTGCCCTGCTTGGGAGTGTGGGGAGTATTTTTTTTAAAGAAATCTCAGGGAGTACATTCCAAAATGCTGTGTTTGAATTTTAAAGAAGACTGGCTGTGAGCCTCCTCTCCCTAAACCCAGATATTAATGCAGGGAGCTTTAGGTTCTTTAATAATAGTGATGATTTTACACTCCTCTTCCCATATACACACATACACAGCCTAAACCAGATGAAGCTGGTCAAGTTTGTAATTCTAGCGACTTGGGAGGCAGAGGTTAGGGGGAATCACAGTTCAAGGCCATCTGTGACATAGAAGTTCATGAGACTCCATCTTAACCACTGTGAGCACAGTGGGACATGCCCTTTATCCCACCTATACGGAAAGCACAATGGCTGGTTGGGTACAATAAATGGCACATGTCCATCATCTCCAGTGACACAGGGGAGCACAAGTAAGAGGATCACAGTCCAGGAATGCCCTTGATCTAGAGAGAGACAAAGCCAGGCACCGTGGCTCACACCTGTAATCCTAGTTATTCAGGAGGCTGACATCTGAGGATCGCAGTTTGAAGCTAGCCGAGGCAGGAAAGTCCATGAGACTCTTATGTACAATAAACTATTCAAAAAATCTCAAAGTGGCACTGTGACTCAATTGTTAGAGTGCTTGCTTTTTGCAAGAGAAGCTGAGGTACAGTGCCTAGGCCCAGAGTTCAAGCCCCAGGACTGGAAGAGACAGAGGGGAAAGAGAGAGAGGGGAGAGAGAAAGAGAGGGGGGGAGAATACCTTGAAAAAACCAACCTGAAAAGGGGCTTAAGGTGTGGCTCAAGTGACACCTAGCAAGTACAAGGCCTAAGTTCAATGCCCAAGGCCACTAAAACAACAATAACAATGACATCAATACAACCTGAGAATTAGATGTTGAAATCAGTAGCAATAACTTGACAGCTTACAAGGGACTATAATGCACCTGACCTCATTTCCTTCTTCCACCAACGCAATGAAGTAGGTTATTTCTATCCCTGCTTTACAGTCAAGAAACTGAGGCTCAGGGAAGCTAACAGGCTCGCCCTTAGCTTTATGTTCTTAGGAGCATAGCCAGAATCCACTAATACTTTTACCAGTCTCTTCCAAAGATCACAGCCACCACCTGCCCCTAATCACCTTCATTGCTCATGGCTGGTCCCAGCTTCCTACATAGTCAAAATGACTCAAGCAAACCAGACCATTTCTTCTGGGCTTAAATCCCTTCTAGAAATCCTCATAGTTCTGGGGATGAAATCTTGGTTTATAAATTGTTACCTTTAAGTAGTTGTACAAAGGGATTTCAAGTCAACCTGTCAGTTTATGAGTACAGTGCATCTTGGTCAATATCACCTCCTCCATTCTTCTTCCCCAGCTCTCCCAAGCCCATCTACCTCCTCAAGTTACCTGGTTCCATTTTCACATATGTGCATTGAATAATATGAGGCTATTCCCCCACCCTTCCAATTGTCTGCCATCCTTCCCCTTGACCAACCCCCACCCCCACCTCCATGAAATCTTGACACAACTGCCAGCCCAGCCCACCAGATTGCTCTTAGGAGAGTTCCACCTACCTTAGCTCTTATGCATCAACTCTCCACCTTCTTGCCCTGTCCTTCAGTCTCCTGGTATGGTCATCCTGAGAAGCTGGGATGTAGTTGATGTTGTGGTTTGGAGCTTGAGTCCCAAAATCATAAGGACGCAAGTTCATTCCCCTCTAGCTGTGTGCTGTGTGGGATCTTGGCCAACTCCTGAGCCCTCATTTGTAAAATCAAGATAACAGTGCCCAAGGTAGTGGTCTACACCTGCAAACCAAGCAGCCCCTGGTTTAATCAGCAACATGTGATGTGAATGGTGGCCATTAGCTGGACAGCTAAGCAGTTTTACTGTTGACGCCATCGAGACTCTTGCCATTGATGTACATGCAATCAAGCCTCTCAGTCATTTCTACTGTACTCTATGCAAACAGGAGCTTCTAGAATAAATATCTGGATCCTTTCTGACTTTTGGCATTCTGAAGCCAGAGTCTGCTTTCAGAGGTTTGGCTTTGTCTCATCTTCTTACAGGCAGAATGCATCAAAACCAAGGCAGGGACGCACACCTGCGTGTGCCAGCAGGGCTGGACAGGGAATGGAAGAGACTGTGTGGAGATCAACAACTGCTTGCTTCCAGGAGCAGGTGGCTGTCATGCCAATGCCACCTGCTTGTACGTGGGCCCTGGGCAGGTGAGTAGCACATTTCTATGTAAGCTTTCATTCACTTCATCATGTGTCCATTCTCGTCAGGTGCCCCTGAGCAGAGCGAGATCAGAGCTTATCAAAACCAGTTGGCCTCAGCCCTGGAGAGGCACTTACAGACAACAAAAGAATACATGCTCTCAAATCCATGCAGAGGGAGGCCATGGTCTGGCTGGTTGGTACCTGGGCTCTGGATTGCTATTCTATCTATGATGCTGATTTTGTCTGACAGCAGACTCGGTTCGTTGGTCTTGCAGTAAGTGAACTTCAAACTGTAGTCTCAGGAGTGGGATAACTGGAAGAGCTCACTGCAGCCTTTTGTCTCATGAAGCATTTAACGAATGTTGCCATTGGCTTTTGACTCACTTGAATTGTGGCCATTCAAGTGAAAATTCAAAAAGAACCAGAGAGCTATCAGATTGGAAACCTTAACATAGAAGGTGTAAGAAGGCTTCCCTGCCATCTGAAGACTAACAGACAGGAGGCATTGTCACTCTACCCTGCAACAGACCAATAGCTATTGTGACCATAGTTTTCACAGTTTGCTTTGCAGGGCCTATGAAGGTAAAGCATGAAAAACATGTGCTTTCAGTAACCCCCTTTACTGTGTTCTTGGGCTTGTAGAATGAGTGTGAGTGTAAGAAAGGATTTCGAGGAAATGGGATCGACTGTGAACCAATCATTTCATGCTTGGAACAGACAGAGAAATGCCATCCACTGGTAAGTTACTTGCCTAGTTTTCATTCACACAAATAAAATGAGGACTGTTGTTTGAAGCCAGCCTGGGCAGGAGACTCTTATCTCCAATTAATCGCTCAAAAAACAGAAATGGAGCTATGGCTTAAAGTGGTACAGCACTAGTCTTGAGCTAAAAAGCTCGAGGACAGCACCCAGGCCCTGAGTTTAAGCTCTACAACCAACCAAAAAAAAAAAAAGAAAGGAAGAAGGAAGGAAGGAAAGAAGGAAGGAAGGAAGGGAGGGAGGGAGAAGGAGGGAGGGAGGGAGAAGGAGGAAGGAAGGGAGGGAGAAGGAGGAAGGAAGGGAGGGAGAAGGAGGAAGGGAGGGAGGGAGGGAGGGAGGAAGGGAGGGAGAAGGAGGGAGGGAGGAAGGGAGGAAGGAAGGAAGGAAGGAAGGCACCATGTGCATCACTTCCTGTCACTATCAGAAAGTATCTGAAAAATCAGTTTAAAAAATAGAGTGTATAGGTAGGCTTATGGTTTAAGAGATTATATCTGTGGTCACTCAGCTTCATTTTTCTGGGCCCATGGGCAATGAGACAGGGTATCATGATGCCAAGCCTGTAGTGGAACAAAGCTGCTCATCATGTCATAGACAGCCAGAGAGGAAGGGGCCGGAGCAAGATACACGCCCAGGCACACACGTATCATCCCACCCCCATGACCTACTTCCTCCAACTAAGCTGTCTTCAAAAGTGTCCTCCACCTCCCACCTCCCAAGACTGCCATGAAACTCTGAGCCCATCAGTAGCTTGCCCCATTGACAAATCAGCACTTCATGTTCCAGCCATGCCCCAAAGCCTCCCCTTTGAACATGTTGCCCTAGGGGGCAAGCCCTTAACCACCCACCTGAGCCTTGAGGGGGACACTTCACATCCAAACCAAGACAGTGATTCATTACTAGTAATGAACAAAAGGAGTCCCTAAGTAGAATGTAAGCTGCTATTGCAATTTTCACTCCACTTCAAGCTGGGAAGAGCCCACTGGAGATCGGTGGATAAAATATAGGACACCCCATTGGATTTGAATTTCAACTCCATAAAGAGTAAATCTGGGCTTGGGAGTATGGCTTAACTGCCAGAAGAATATGTTTTCAGCAAAAGTGTGCCCCAAATGCTACACGAGACAAGCTTATACTAACACATACTCATCCTTGGGCTGAAACTCAAAGCTACCAGTGTGTCCTGAATTCTTGATTTGCTAAATGTGGAAAGGATGGAAAGAATCTCATTGTGACAAAGTACACATTGCAGACAGAGGCCTCTGCCCACAACTGTAAAGGGTCTGCCTGCGCCATCGTTCAGCCCTGAGTCTGCAGTCTGACCATAAATAGGGCCTCCCAACTGGAGATGTTTCACAGACGTAACTCTGTTCTAATGCTCTTGTTAGGAAAACATGTCATTTCCTTCCTCTTGGTTCCCTCAGGCTACCTGTCAGTTTGTTTCTTCTGGTGTCTGGAGCTGTGTTTGTCAGGAGGGCTATGAAGGAGATGGTTTTTTGTGCTATGGAAATGCAGCCATGGTAAGTCACCTGTGAAGACTGCAAGTGCAGAGTGATGGGGATGATTCCAGGGGGAAAATGAGACTCTTGGGCTAAGATGCCTTGAACGTGCTCTGGACACATGACCTGGGCTCCAGCTGGCATGAACCCAGCCCTGTCTCACAAATACCACGCATGCTTCCTGAGTCACCCCTTTTCCACTGGCTCCAGGCAGCCAACTTATTTGGAGCCTTCTGTACTCCAAGTCATCATGGTTCTGTGGTTACCCATCTATCTGCTTCCCACACTTCCCAAATGAGAACCTAAGTGGCCTTAGCCAGACTGCCTGGACTCCCCTGTCTGAGTTGTTGGGTACCTCCCATGAGTGCTCCCTGAGCACCTTGCTCTTACCTCTATCAGGAGGTATGTGTGTGAGAAGCCCACTGTGTACTGGGCATCTTAATAAGTCTTCACCATGCTGCAACATCTCATTTAAATTTATTATGCCCATTTACAGGCCAGGAAACTAAGAGGCCAAGCAAATTTGCCCAAGGTCAATGGCTGTCTAAGGGCACAGGTGGCAAAGTGTTCTATCCATGTGGCATGGATCACACCAAATTGTTAGTGTCTCTACATTGTTTTCTCTCTCCCAGTACTGGACTGTAAACTCCAGGGGAAAGAGCATTCACAATCACTCACAGATACCCCCATCACTTTTAAATGTTTGTCACCATGAGAAATAAGGCAGGGAACAGTGGGACCTGCTTATAATTTCAGCTATTCAAGTGGCATAGGTCGAAAGATCACACTCTGGGGCCTGTCCCTGGAGAAAACATGAGACCCTATTTGAAAAGCAACAATAGAAAAAAGGAGGGGGTAAAGGCATGGCTCAAGTGGTAGAGCCCCCATTACCACCACCACCCATTTCAATCTCCAGTACTACGGAAGGAGGGGAGGGAGAGGGAGAGGGAAGGCTGGAGGGAAGGGAAGTGCAGGTGCCCCAGAACCTGGCTGTGATGAAACTTCTGTGTTCTCTCTTGTCTCTCCCTTGCATGAAATGAAAAAGGAATTATCGTTTCTCTCCGATGCAGTTATATTTAACCAATGGATAAATGTGAGTACCTTTGTTGCAATTTAAATCTGGCAGCCTGTACAATTTCAGAAAATTGGGATGTTTTTAATAGAAAACTCAGCCAGGTGCTGGTAGCTCACACCTATAATCTCTGAGGCTGAGATCTGAGGATTGTGGTTCAAAGTCAGTCTGGGCAGTAAAGTCCATGAGATTCTTATCTCCATTTAAGCATCACAAAAAGCCAGAGGTGGAGCTGTGGATCAAGTGTTAGAGTGCTAACCTTGAGCACAGAGAAGCTCAGGGACAGAGCCCAGGCCCGAGTTCAAGCACTAGACTGACACAAAAAAAGAAAAAGAAAAGCCGGGCATCCATGGCTCACGCCTGTAATCCTAGCTACTTAGGAGGCTGAGATCTGAGGATCACGGTTCAAAGCCAGCCTGGGCAGAAAAGTCCATGAGACTCTTATCTCCAATAAACCACCAGAAAACTGGAAGTGGCGCTGTGGCTCAAGCGGTACAGCACTTAACTTACCTTGAGCTGAAGTGCATAGGGACAGCGCCCAAGCCCAGAGTTCAAACCCCACGACCGACAAAAAAGAAAAAAGAAAAAAACAAACCTGAGACATCTAGTGAGAAGAGAAGGGATTGCCCCCAACACCGAGGCTCAGCCCTGACAGCACTTTAGAACCCCAGGAAGGACATTTCTAGACACTCCTAACAGATTCCACCCCAGACTCTGACTCTATAGGTCAGATATTTTCCCTAAGTGTCATGTATTTTAAAAGCTACCCAATGCTGCTCAGATGGAACCAGGGCTGAGAATATATAGCCCAGGGCAAAGTCAAGGTCTTTTTTGAAAAGACTATCATAATTCATGTTGTAACTCACCGTGTCACCTTTGCATTTTTTTTGGCTGCCATCTGAGATGCTTTGCATGTGCTTAGCTCTCAGCTAAGTCCTTCTGGGCTTGGGGAGCTGACCCTTCACCTCCGGGAAGTATAATGGAGACTCCAATCTCCCTGCTCCATTGTCTACATCCCGTCCTCTGAATGGACCCTGGCATCTGGCCCAGCCACTATCAGTACAATGGTTCTCTGGCCTTACATTAGGAATATGTCGATAGACTCTTCCTGGTCAGTACCCACTCCTGGACAGCTCCCTGCTGCTTCCTGTGGTGCAAGCTACTGGTCAGGCAAGACAATGGACTGCACCATCTCTAGAGTATGCTGACATCCACCTAGACCCATCACACCTGCTCTCAGCCCACAAGCATGTGATTACACACCCGTGTAATTACACACCGTGATTACACCGTGATTACACACCCACTCTTCTACCTGATCAGAGCAGTTTTCCCAACTCCACCTCCAATATTATAACCACCGTTAGCTTGAACTTAGTACTCGTGGGAGAATTTACACCAGAGTAATCAGCAAGGCTGACAAGTCAGGATTTGGGATTCTTGTTTTGTCTCATTATTTTTGTTTTATCTGGGTGACCTGTTATGTATAACTATGCCATCATATCTACCCAGGACTGGTCCTCTCAGCAAAGGCAGGTCAAGTTTCATTCCAGGCCTCCAGTCTCTCCATAGCTGAAATCATCCCTGCTGTCTCTTCACCATCCTTACTAAAGACATCCAAGGGTTCACACAGTGTTTTACAACATACACAATCCTATTAAAAACTAGGCTAGATAAAGCCAGTTGCCAGGGGCTGGAGGAAGGTAAGATCTGAGGATCAGGATTGAAGCCAGCCCAGGCACAAAAGTCCATGAAACTCTTACCTCCATGAAACAACTCAGAAAGGCAGAAGTGGAGTTGGGGCTCAAATGGTAGAGTGCTGGCCTTGAACAAGAAAGTTCAAAGACAGCTCAGGACCTGAGTTCAAGTCCTAGGACCAGAACAAACAAACAAAAGTAGTGCACACTTGACCACACACACACACACACACACACACCAATGCAACCTGATCAGAAAATTTAAAATTTGAAAGGGTCACACATTTTAAACAAAAAGAAAGACCATCAGTCAATGGCCGGGGTGGATTCGGGAAAGGGGCCTTCCTGCATCCCTGGAATTACATTACGCGGGAAGTCTTCATCTCTGCCAAGCCTTTAGGTCTGCCCTGTTTGTTTCCTCATGTAGTCAGGTCACCTATTTCCCTCCTGTCATTCAGAATGCTTCTTTCCAATCCATGCTGTCCACCACCTTGAACCTCACTATCCTCGTGCCTTCAAAGCAAGCTATTGAGGACATGGACCCAAAGGAGAAGACCTTTTGGTTATCAAAGAACAATATAGAAGCCCTAATAAAGTAGGTGTTACTGATTCTGTTGTCCCTGGCACTCACCAATGTCAATGTGAACAGGTACCATAGCGGTTCAATGAAGAATCCCAGGGCCCTTCAGATCCATCAAGCACTTCTGGGATTCTTCTCCCTTCCCAACTATGGAAGGGGTGAAGGTCTACTGACAGCTCATCCTGGACTAAGCGCTGTCCTCGCCTCTTTCAACAACTAATACCCCCAAGAGACAGGCGCTATAATTATTGCCATCTTACAAATGTAGAAACTGAGGCTGTGGGTGGTTAATAACTCCAGACAAGGCTGCTAACTACAGGGAGGCATTTGAATTTTGAATATGGTAGTCTGGGTCCAGGGCTTAGTCTTCTAATATGAAATAGTACTGATATTTACTTATAACCACTATGGTCTGCTATTTCAGACACCACATGCTGGTGGGCACATACAGAGTAGCAGATCTGCAAACCCTGTCACCTTCTGACACAGTGGCAACATCTTTGCAGGGCAGCTTCCTTCGTCTGGACCAGGCAGATGGGGTAAGATGGATCAGTCACTGGGCTGTTTATAGTTTTAATATGCTCCTTTGCTTTGATATGGAAATTTCCAAATGTGTAAAAACAGAGAAAATAGAAGTGGCTATCACCCACTTGCATCAGTTAGCAACATAGATTCACACACACACAGCATGCTATACAGCGTAGTTCCCACTGATTGGCCCCAGTACTCCTCCTGACAGACAAGGAGAAAGCTGTACACTGCACATTTTGATTTTGATGTATAGTTATCTAAGAACCGGTAACCAATAGCCCACACATGGAGTCATTACAGCAACCCAAGTTATAGTCATGATTATGTACCACTTTCGTGATTGAGCATGGATCCCCAGATCTCCATGCTGGAGGGGTGAATGGCCAAGGATGAGCTAAGCCCCAGAGAAACTCAACACTGTCACTGCTGGAGTGTGTTAAGGACTCAGATTTTGAATCCCCTGGGGTATTCTGGATGCCTGGCTGTGTGTGACAGCCAATTACAGCTCTAGGGAAATTGCACATGGAATGAATGGGGATTCCACCAGAGAGGGCATGAGAACAGCATCCATCCAATCCAAGAATCACTACTTGGAAAAACATTCCACCTGCTCCTCAGCAGAGAGAGCACTGGGGAAGGAAGGAACCCAATGAGCTGTGTGATTTATAGTAGAGACCAGAAACCACTTACAGGGCCCCATGGATGTCTTTGACCATCTTATTTGGATAATTCTGGTGACATTTATGTTTTCATCTTAGTTTTATTTTTAATTTTAAAACTATGAGATAGGGGTGGAATATATGCTGATATACCATTACACAAATGGCTTAATGCTAATGATATTGTAACATAAATGAGAAAGCTAGAAAAGAGGGTTTGAACATTGTCACCACAAAAAAGTGAAAATGATTGAGCTTATGAAGAGCCTGAAGTGATCATTGCAGAACACACACATGTGCTGTAATATCACACTGAACCCCATAAATGTGTGTAACCCCATAAATGTATAATACACTGTCTTCATCATGCGTGATGATTACTACAGTGTTGCCCATCTGTTGGTATTTTAAACCATCAATTCTCTCAGCAATGTTAACTCAACGCCCACCCACCATAGGCAGGCATTGCCCGTGCTTTAGAGATTCAAATATAAATCAGTCATGACTTTGAATTACAGGCACTAGCCATCAAAGACACATCTGTAATCAGTTCATTCCTGTGTCATCTGATATCAGTGACTTTGGTTAAAGACCAAAGAGATGTGCAAAGTCATCTGGAATGTTCCCTGCCTGGCTTTGCTCATGGAACTGGGGAGCTGCTGAGAGTGAGGCAAATCTCCTTCCTCATTCAGGGTCTCCAGGAGACCTTCAAATCAAGGTCATAGGTGAGAACAGAGGAGAGGACACCAGAGAAAGTAGACCTTAGTTGTCCTTGGTAGGGGGGTGGGAGGTGGGTAGGTTGGGTTTTAATTAGCCCCATTCCATGTGTAATGAATAGTACTAAAATGTGGCCAGGAAAGTCAACTCCAGTCTGTATGAGATTGTTACAGCTGCCCAACAAAGAGCCATAGCTCTACAATTTACTGTGAGTTGATTTTCTTACTGTTTTGAAGCTGAGAAGTCCGAGTCAATGTGTTGGCAGTTGGTTCCTTGTGAGCCCTGCGAGATGGAGCTGTTTTAGGCCAGTCTCCTTGTCAAGTGAACATCGTCCTTCCACAGCTGTCTCCGTGCAGATTTCCTCTTTTTTTTTGTCATCTGGGGGGCTTCAACTCAGGGACTGGGCACTGTCCCTGAGCTCTTTTGCTCAAGGCTAGTACTCTACCACTTTGAGCCACAGCTCCACTTCTGGTTTTTCTGGTGGTTCATTGAAGACAAGAGTCTCATAGATTTTCTTGCCCAGGCTGACTTTGAACCACAGTCCTTAGATATCAGCCTCTTAAGTAGCTAGGATTACAAGCATGCTATTTCTTCTTTTTAAGAACTATAATTATCTTGATTGGGACACCTAAAAAGCTCGTTGCAGAGCACCTCTGTAAAGACTTTAAACTGCAATGAATTTTACAATCTGAAATTCTGGGAGTTAAGGCTTCAACATAAGAATTATGGGAGTTAGGCTGGGAAGGTGGCTCAGTGGTAAAGCGCTTGCCTTGCATGCCTGAGGCCCTGGGTTCAATTCCTCAGCACAACATAAGCAAAAAGAAAAAAGCCGGAAGTGGCACTGTGGCTCAAGAGGTGGAGTGCTAGCCTTGAGCTGAAGAGCTGAGGGACAGCGCCCAGGCCCAGAGTTCAGGCCCCACAACTGGACCCAAAAAAAAAAAAAAATAGAATTGTGGGAGTGTGGGACATACTTCAATCTACAACACTGTCTAGGTGTTTTTCAAAGTTCAGGATTAGTTTAACAAGCTCCAATCAACACTTCTTTAGTGAAACAGAATATATACTGTTGAAATTGACCATCGAAGAACTTTCCAGATTCCAGATAACTAGAGAATGTACTCTCTCATTGTGTGTGTGTGTGTGTGTGTGTGTGAGAGAGAGAGAGAGAGAGAGAGAGAGAGAGAGAGAGGTGTCTAGTGAGCCACAATTTAAGGTGTCTCTTCTTGTGGGTTACAGTCCAAATGCATGTAGGTCCCTGCTTCTCAATTACCTAAGGTAATTCTGCCTCTGTATGCATTCACTAAAGACTCACCCCCCCCCCCCGCCCCTACCGCACTGTGGTTTGCATTGCAGAACATCACAATTGACGGTGCATCCATCCTTGATGGTGACAACGTAGCCACCAATGGAGTGATCCATGTCATCAACAAGGTAAAAGTCCCTCCTCCACACAGATGACATCTCTGCACCATGCTACTCTCTTTCCTTTCCTACTTGGCAATGATTGGGGAAAATAAATAATATTTAGCCTTAGTATAAAAATAACCTGATCCTGCCACCAGTAGCTCATGCCTATAATCCTAGCTACTCAGGATGTTGATATCTGGAGGATTGAAGTCCAAAGGTAGCCCAGGCAACAGAGGTCCAAAAGACTCCATCTCAAATTAAGCAGTAAAATTCCAGACTGGAGAGCAGAGCCCTAGCCAAGAATAAGCAAGCTGAGCAAGAATGAGGCTCTGAGTTCAAACTCCAATATTGAAAAAAAAAAAAAAGTAACTTGGATTGTGCTTTATTACCTTTACTTTTAAATCATTTAGAAGGCAGGCGCCTGTGGCCCATGCCTGTAATCGTAGCTACTTATGAGGCTGAGATCTGAGGCTCAAGGTTTGAAGCCAGCCCAGATAGGAAAGTTCATCAGACTCTTACCTCCTATTAGCCACCAAAAGGCAGGAGATGGAACTGTGGCCTTGAGTGAACAAGCTAAGGCACTGCACTGAGACCCTGAGGTTAAGTTCTAGGACCAGCAAAGATAGATAGATCAATAGACAGATATAGATACATACATACATACATACATACATGCATGCATACATACATACATACATAGACAGACAGACACAAATAGTAAGAGCCATTTAAAGCTCTCTTCCGTCAGTCAGCCCACAGACTCCACTATTATTTTCTCAGCCTGTATTCTGCAACAGGCCCTTTGCCAACAGTGGCCACACATACCTCTCCTTGTGGAACTACGTGAAAAGAGACAGGAGCACCCCGGCGTAGGGAATTCCAGAATCAAGGAGGGGGGAGGGCTGGCGATGGATCACTGTTCACTCCCCTCTCTCCATTATCATACCTTCAGCGAAAATTGGGGAAAGAGTAGAAAAAGTCTTAGGAGATTTCCATTTTCTTCCAAGTCCCCATTCATCTGTATTCAGTGGTATCAAATACAATGAAAAGGCGCTGAATGCTACCCTGTAATTTTCGCTTACTATCTTAGGACCTTCATTAAAAAATGAAAGTTAGAACTCAGGGAGAAAGTATAAGGCTAGGAGAGAAAGGGATTAAATCATTGCATTTCGATTTAAATTGTTCTGACCTGACCTTCCTTCTCACGCTTTGAGACTAAGCTCTAGAAAAGGTTAGCTATTTGTGGTCAGGAGAGAGGCCAGCTGTTTGTAAGTCCTGGCCTGCTGTTTTGTAAAGATCCTGCGGCAGTCCTCCTTAACCAGTAAGTGATGCACCTTGTTTGTTTGTTTGTTTTATGGTACTGGGTATTGAACCCAGAGCATTGCACCTGCTAGGCAAGCACTTTGCCACTGAGCTACATCCCAGCCAGGCTTGGTTTTTCCATTTTGTTTTGAAAGTTTTAGCAAGGGCTTATTTTAGCAAAACAGGATTCAAGTAGGGAAAAGTTGAAAAGAAAAAGAAACAATTTCTGTTCCCCACGTAGGAAATGGGAGTTAAAGACTCCATTTTCCACCCCATTTTCATCAGTTGGGAGAAACTGACTTCAGATACTACAAAGTAACAGTCTAGCCTCAAACCACAACCCTCCCAACTCCACTTTCCATATATCTAGGATTACAGGCAACTACTACCATGCCCGTCCTCAAAATTATTTTCAACAAGGGCAGCAGATTCGTTTGGGCTGCTTCAGAGATATCCTTTTCAAAGAAGACCCAGGTCTTAATCACAATTGTGAACCCACTGGCTGGCCTATAGTAGAAACTCAGTAAATATAGGCAGAAGGTGGGTTGGATGAGGAAAACATTCCAATGCTGTATTAATCCATCTAAGAACAAGAAGGTAGAAATAGCGATCATTAGCCATGCCAGCTTGCAAACTCAGATACCCGGATGGACTGGTGGGGAGGGGAGGAAAAACGAAGGAGAGGAGCAGATGAGAGGCATCAGGGCATGGGGTGGCCTGAGCGGACAGTGCCTACTGCTTTATCACTGGAAAGGCAGACTGAGGGCTTTAAAAAGAAATCCAGAATATTGCCAGATACTGGTGACTCAACCTGTAATCCAAGTGACTCAGGAGGCTGAGATCAGAGGATGAAGGTTTGAAGTCAAAATGGGCAAGAAAGTCTGTGAGACTCTTACCTCCCATTAACCACCTAAAAATAAGCTTGCAGTTCAAGTGATAGAGTGTCAGCCTTGAGGAAAAAAAAAAGCTAAGAACACTGCCTGGACCCTGAGTTCAAGCTCAGTACCAGAACTGGTACCAAAAAAAAGCTGATTTCTAAATCTACAAAAAAAAAAAGTGAATAGGAGTCCCATAGGTATATGAAAGCAGCAAATGCTACCAAATTTGTGCTAAACTGAATTTGGGGGCTTCCTGTCCCAGGTGCTGGTCCCCCTCAGAGGACTATCTGGCTACTTACCCAACCTGCTCACCCGGCTGGACCAGATGCCTGACTATTCCATCTTCCGGGGCTACATGATTGCAAGTACCACGTTCTCAGCATGACCTCCTTGCTTGTTGTCTGGGAAACAGGAATTCCTCACATGCTCTGGTCTTCCCTTTGCAGCAATACAACCTGGTGAGCCAGGTTGAGGCAGCAGATGCCTACACTGTGTTTGCTCCCAATAACAATGCCATTGAGCGTTATGTCAAGGAGAAGAAGGTCTCGACTCTAGTAGGTATCAGAAACGTTAGCCAGGAAAGTGATTTCCTGGAAAGTCAAACATGCATCCTCAACAGGTCTCATTTCATCAGTCCTGTGCATTTCACTTTCCTCAAAACCTGCTGTCTAAGAAGGTTTTTTTTTTTCTTTTCCTTTTCTTTTTTGTCTTGTTTGTTCATTTGTCCATCTTTTGGGGGGGGGGGCGGATAAGGGAGCACAGGAAGGGAGGGATATACAGTGAACAGTGTTTCTCAGTAGAAACTATGTTGAAAATGAATTATACAATTTGTGGTCAGGGACAGGAGAGAAAACCTGAGAGAGAAGGAAAGGAGGGGTGACACTGCCCAAAAACAAATGTACTCATTACCTGACCTATGAACCAGTAACCCCTCTGTACATAACCTTTATAATAACCATCTTTAAAAAAAAACCTTGCTTATCTAGACACATATAGAGACTTAATAGAGACTGGTGAGTATGGACCCACACACATGCATGTGTGCGTGTGTGCACATGCACACACACACACACACAGAAGCCTTCATCAGGAAGACTGCCCTTCCTCCTCACCAATTCCTGAATGGTTTAAAATCATCTTCCCTAACCATTGTGTAGCACGGCTAAGTGCAGTCAGGGTCCACCAGGAGACACAAGCCATACCAGTTATTCAGAATCTAAGTGTATACATTTGTTTGATGCTGGTGTCTGAGCATAGAGGGTTCTTGTGGGCTCAAAACCTAGAGGTCCAGGACATTGCCAGCTACTGTCTCTCATATGGGAAGGATAGGAGTAACAGAAAAACACCGTCAGAGTAGAGGAAGGGATTGAAGCAACCTTCTTCTCGCCTTCCCTGAAATATACTTCTATTCCTCTTCCTGTTCTCATTAAACTCAAATCTTGGTTTTTCCAGGTTGGGATATAGGAAGTGTTGTTCATTGGGAAGAGACAGTAAGAAGACAGAAAGAGGGTAGGAAGGAGCCAAAAAAAATGTAGAACCCACCTCTAGCTTTGCTGTAGAAAAGCCTGTCTGCCCTGCCCTTCTAGGCTGCCATCTTGGATAAGACCCAAGTACTCAAAGACACCGCCCCACAATCAGGCCACACACACACTCTCATTCCCATTGTCTAAGGCAGTCGGGAATGCAGGACTACCCCCATTACAGTAGCAGCTCTCTTGATACCACTGCTGAGTGACCAGCCGCAGACCCTGGCTTGGGAGATCTCTCATGCCTAAGTCAACCCCAACCCAATACCCACACCACCTACAGGATACCCAGGTCAAGCTCTTTGAGACATGCCCTTGAAATTCCTCTCCGGATCCCTGAGACACAGCAAGCTGAGCATGGGAATTCTCATCATAGATATTCTGCTCATAACAATCCTCTTTATAATCCATCTCCAACATTCACACCCTCCATCTGGGTGTTTAAGTCACCTGACAAGTTCTTGACCATCCTTCTTGGAAACTCTACACATTCTCTAAAGCAATCTCTTTCACAAGTTAACTATGTAATATTTTCTGTGTCCTGATGCTTGGTCAAAACTTCCACTTGGACAAGACATTGATACTCTTTGTAACCCCTGAGATGCTGGCTCAGTGGGGCAGCCTGTAACCAACTGGGTGAGCTAGTGACTGACTTCCCTTATGTGCGGCGCAGGAAGAGGACATAATCCGGTACCATGTGGTCCTGGAGGAGAAGCTCCTGAAGAACGACCTGCACAATGGCATGCACCGGGAGACCATGCTGGGCTTCTCCTACCTCCTGGGCTTCTTTCTCCATGATGACCAGGTGTGTCCTTTTACTCAATACTCAGGAACAAGTATCTCAGACACTTCTCTTCCATACTGCCATGATCTTTGACTCCTGACCAACACGACAGATATCTGAGTTCCACCACTAAGTGCTAAGCCAGATAGTCAAGTTTCACACTCATATACCTAGTGGTCAGCCCTCAGGTGACTGGTACGGCCCATGGATTGTGGTATTTTAATGCCTTAAGTCATAGATACCCTTTGGCCCTTGTACCAACACCCAGTAGACAGTCACCAAGTAGTCTCCCTGATAGAAGCCATCTAGAAGCTCAGCTAACTCTCAGGATGCACCATTGGTTCCAACAGTCCAAGAGTATACTTAGGACTAGTAGCCAAATGAATAGAAGTTATTAGCATTGCAGTCATAGAGATTTCAGAGCATAAGTCCCTGAGTTCAAGACCCAGTACACACACACACTTACACACACATACACACACACACACACACACACAGAGTAGTGCTAAAGTAAGTTTCCACAAGAAATATTAGCAAAAACTAAGTTGTTATTTATGAGACACTGAAGAGTATATTGAAATGAAACCTTAACTATAGAACCTTTAACCAATAATGTTATTTAATTCTTTTTGAAAAGTGCAATCTTAAAAAACACATATAAACTTTTTAGGTGAAATATTTTTTAATCCAAAAAAAGGCCTTCCCCACTTTTTATTCCATGGGAAATAATCTAACTCCAAATATTTTTCTCTGGCTCCTATAAATAATTCTATCTATTGTGTCATGACTATGAAGAGGCCCTTTGAAATATGTTTTCTTATTTTTTCAAGAATAGCAATTCTGTCATTGATAGAGAGCTTTCACTTTTGTTTTTATCTTTTATTTCAGTGGATAGAGATGAATTTTCCAGTGCTATTAGTTAAGTCCATTTTGGTGTTGTTACGTTTATTTTCCATGTATCCAAAAGTTCTTGGATATAGAGCAAGAATTATTTGTCAGTCCTGGGGCCTGAACTCTGGGCCTGGACGCTGTCCCTCAGCAAGAGCAAGAATTATTCTTATAATAGGAGTTTTGCTTTTATAGGATAGTCATTGGCTTTTTCACCTGACAATGAAAGCATGGGGGAAATGCCTTCAGAATGAGTCAGTGTATTTATATCAAAATTGTATAACAACCCATAATTCTCTGGATATGCCCTATGATGAAAATGATTCAGCCTTTTAAAGGCCAAATTAAACAACTTTATAACATCCAATGTTCTGCTCTTTGAGTATTTAAAAATATCTCAGCATCATGGGATTCTTGAAATTTATGCTATCATCATCACTTGAGACTAAATAAGGTTTCCTGATGGTTTTCTAAATGTGTACAGACCTTCAAGTGCCTCTGTGTGGTATTTAACCATAATTTATCCCATCATCCAAACTGAAATTCATTTGAAGCTGGGCATCACCATGCATGTATACCTCCTATAATGGAGGTAGAAGTAGGAAGATTATGGTCTGAAGCTGGTTGGGGTAAAAGTACAAGACTCTATCCGAAAACAACAACAATAGAATAAAAAACTAAAAAGCAAAAACAAAACTATTTAGCAGCACATTTTCCTACCAAGCATAGGTCTTGAGTTCAATCCCTACTACAGAGAGAGAGAGAGAGAGAGAGAGAGAGAGAGAGAGAGAGAGAGAGACAAGAATGAACAAGAAAGCTATCTGGCTGCAAGTAAACCATAAAGGATGTTAGGATTCAGTCAAAATTCAAAATATAAGCACTTAGGATTATTTTCCTATTGCAGCAGTGGGAGTTTTCTGGGACCACCCTGCCAAGCACACTAACATAAAATATGAGGCAGTATTTTTCAAACAAGCATAAACCTTTCCATCTGAGAGATGAGTAGCTATCTTAAAGACTATGTACAATACCCTCTTCCTTCTACATAAGAGAATTTTGAGTGCAGGTGGCCCAAGGTCACAGAGCTACATGTGACCAGATGCAGAGCTAAGCTTCACATTACCCTCTCCTAGGCCAGAGTTCTGTCATGTGCTACCTTCTGTCAGGAGGCTCCTGGAATATCTCCCAGTCTAAGTGATAGCTTCTATTCCCTTCTTTCCCCATCTCCCTTCAAAACTCTTTCATAAAGGCACACTCAACCCTCTTGTTCACAGCTCTATGTAAATGAGGCTCCAATAAACTACACCAATGTAGCCACTAACAAGGGCGTGATCCATGGCTTGGGGAAAGTTCTGGAAATTCAGAAGAATAGATGTGATATTAATGACACCACTATTGTACGAGTAAGTTATATTCAGAGCCAATGAGGTAACTGATGGGTTTGGGAATCTATTTTATAATTTCTTAAGCTCAAGAATATCCTATTGGGTATCTCATTTCAGCCTAAAAACTCCTCAGTGAGCATCTCTGATGTCCTAGGCTGGGGTTTACAAGGCTACTTAGTTAAGTCACAATGGGTTGATCATTTGTCTCTGAACCTGGTCCAATTCACTTATTCAGTAAATGGGGATTGCTGTTATAGGAATTCAGATTTAAGTGAATAAATATGTCCATATCTCACAGGGTTATTATAAGCACATCATGAGAAAAAGTAATTGTTAAACATGCAAGACCCATAGTAAGCATCTGGTTCAGAGAACATCAGCGAGGTTGACCAGATGCCCCCTGCTGATTTTCAGTTCTATATGCTGAAATTTTTATCTTTGAATACTGTAAAAATATATGTAGCCTTATCTTCCACTAAGATTAATAGCCTTAAAATTCTTCTCTGCCTCTGTTTTACCAAGGGAAAGTGTGGAGTGTGTCTCCAGCACCAGCCACCAATCTGCCCTCTTGGCACTAAGCCACTAGTAGTAAGTATTTTGTCTACTTGGGTGATATACTCTCTAAATCTAAGGGAGTCCAAATTAGAAAATGAATATGGCCAGGCACTGATAGCTCACATCTATAATCCTATCTACTCAGGAAGCTCATCTCTGAGGATCGTGGTTCAAAGCCAATCCAGGCAGGAAAGTCCATGAGACACTTATCCCCAGTTAGCCTCCAGAAAACCAGAAGTGCAGCTATGGCTCAAGTGGTAGAGTGTTAGCATTGAGCAAAAGAGCTGAGACACTGCACAGGCCCCAGGTTCAAGCCCCAGGACTGGCACCAAAAAAAAAAAAAAAAGGAAAAAGGAAAAGAATGTGGTGCATTCTTCATCATTCTACTTTGTTATATTCAGTAGTCTCTTTTTTTTTTTTTTGGTCGGTCATGGGGCTTGAACTCTGGGCTTGGGTGCTGTCCCTCAGCTCTTCAACTCAAGGCAAGCGCTCTACCGCTTGAGCCACAGCCCCACTTCCAGTTTTCTGGTGATTTATTGGAGATTAGTCTCATGGCCTTTTGTGCCTGGGATGGCTTTGAACGTGATCCTCAGATCTCAGCCTCTTGAGTAGCTATGATTACAGGCAAGAGCCACCAGTGCCCAGCATATTCAATAGTCTTAAATGAATGTTCACCCAAGATAGGGACACAAGTGGTTTTTTTTTCTTTCTTGCTATTGTTTCTAACATATTTATAATGTACCATGTGATTTTTTTGTTGCTTTGTATGTTCTTCCCCCAGGGTATAACCCCAGTTTTTCACTGTATTTGATGTCAGTATAATTTGGGAAGGGAAAAAAATGTTTAAATAGGGATACAGTTGACCCATTGTAACAATGAGATGTACAAGACACTATGTTGAAAAACAAACTTTAGGCAGGGGATGGGGGGGAGTGTAATTGTGGAGGTGGGAGGGAAGGGATGGTAGGGGAAAAACAAAGGAGGAGGCAACAATGCTTGATAAGAAATGTACTCATTACCTTGCTCATGTAACTGTAACCTCTCTGTACAGTATTTTTACAATTAAAAAAACTTATTAAAAATAAAAAATGAATATTCAGAGGGAACAAGGTAAAAATCAAGTTAATTATTAAATAGAAATGAGTTCAATACTAGGATAGATTTCTTTTCCTTTCTACATCTTTCATAGTTAGCCAGTTGGGAACAGCAGCAAAAAACCCTACCAAAGGCACACTTCATATTCAGAACTATACTGGCCTCATGCATTCCACTCACTTGATTTCCTGTTACAGAAGAAGTTACAACTGACTTTCTTGCCAGGCATCTATGGCACACACCTATAGTCCTAACTATTCAGGAGGCGGAGAACTGAGGATCATGGTTCAAAGCCAGCCTAGCCTGAAATGTCTCTGCAACTCATCTTCAGTTAACTGCTAAAAGGCCAGAAATGGACCTATGGCTCAAAGTGGTAGAACACCAGCCTTGAGCACAAAAGCTCATGGACAGTGCCCAAGACCCTTAGTTTAAGCCTTAGGATTGGCACGCGCACACACACACACACACACACACACACACACAAATGACTTTCTCAAAAAAACATGAGCAGCCCTGGGAGAAGTAGCTACATCTTTGGATTCATTACCCATCTAAATTTCTTGTAGCATATTGTTTTATAAAAGCTATTTCTGGTAACAACCATTACAAATAATAAATACTTCTTCACCTCCCATAGCGTGAGAATAATTTATGATAATAATGATGAATACTGATTGTCTCATATGAGTTTTCATTTAATCTTGTATATTATAATTCTTTGTGAGCAGACAATCCTTGCTTGGACTGAGACAGGATATAAATCAATAAACAAACTGCACTCAGGCTTAAATTAACGCACATACAGGGCTGGGAGGACATTTTTATCTGATTTATTTTATATACTTTCCAAAATGGAGTTAGAGAAATTTTCTTTTTATACAGTGCTGCTTTATCTGGATTTTCCCATGGCATTCTGCAGGCTATAGTACATAGTTGTGTTTTCTTATTTAAGAAGAAGCACCAGAAAACTACAACCCTCATTTTCCAGAATGTACCAGTCCTAGATACAGCAAGCCATCCCTCCTATACTTGCCTTTAAAAAATGAACACCTTTTTTTCCTAATTAAAATCTTGACTGAATCATTACTATCTTATAGGGTGATGAGACAAGGAAATGTATCTATACTATTTATTTCATGGGAAGGCGAAATGTGTTCATTGGCTGCCAGGCAAAGTGTGTGAAAACAGTCATTGTGAGTACCATGATTTAAGCATCCTTCTAACAACTTCAGTAACTCTGGGAAATTCATTCACCCCCTCTCCTTCCTCACCATCTTCATCACTATTGTCATCCAAAGTAGGAGTGGTAGCAAACAAATTCACAACAGTCCATAAATCAGAAAATGGAACTGGGTACTATTGGCTCACAGCAGTAATCATAGCTAGAAGGAGACTGTAATGTGAGGATCCCAATTTGAAGCCATCCTGGGCAGAAAAGTCTGTGAAACTCTTATCACAAATTAACCACCAAAAAGCTGAAAGTAGAGGTATGGCTCAAGAGCAAGAAAGCCAAGCAAGTATGTGAGGCTCTGAATTCGAGCCCCAGTAATGGCACCAAAAGAAGGAAGAAAGAAAAAGAAAGAAAGGAGAGAGAGAGAGAGAGAGAGAGAGAGAGGGAGGGAGGGAGGGAGGGAGGGAGGGAGGGAGGGAGGGAGGGAGGAAGGAAGGAAGGAAGGAAGGAAGGAAGGAAGGAAGGAAGGAAGGAAGGAAGGAAGGAAGGAAGGAAGGAAGGAAGGAAGGGGAGGAGGAGGAGAATAAGAGAAGGAAGAAGAGGAGGAAGAAACAATAGTATGGGTTAAAGATGCATTGGCTTGTTTGGTGAAAAAAACTGATGATATGAAAGAACTTCCTTATTCTCACAACACAAGCAGTATAGAAGCAAAAAAGACGGAGGATATGGCCACTAAGGAAAGACAAGGTAAACCCAATTGTTTGAAACTGAGTCCCCCTCATTAGAAGAAAAAAAATGGGTCCTCAAAATTAAGGATCTCTGGGCACCATTTTGGAATTTGCAGGAAATTTCTTTGTAACTTCCTGTTCTGCTTCTTTCCCAATGGCCTTGACATAACCTGCCTGAGTTTAGCAGAGGAAGGATGGTTTGACCCTCAGGCTGCAGAGCTGGGGCTAGAGAAAATTTGGTTTTAAAATACTCACGAATAAAGACAGGTCAAGGCCAAACAGACATCCAAAGGGCTTCCTTGAACTACAAGAAAATCTCTCCTAAAAGGCCAACCACCTTACCCCTAGAGGCCTCCCTCCTTGCCTAGAAGACGAAAGAGAACTTCATGCAAAGGGGCCCACGTTTGGACATGGTGAAGGCAGATTGGTATCCCTCCCCAGCCTCCAGCCTCTCAAGTCATTCTTTAGTTTGGTCCTGTGTGACCCTCCTCTTTCATTTCTCCCCATCTTCTTGTCCTACTTGCCTTTTCTCTTTCCATCCTGCTCAGTGGAGGCTTCAGTCTTTGTTCCTAGGAAATTGCTGAGTCTCCCCTTAGTCCTCGTGGGCTCTGGGAGTCAAAGACACAAGTACATATGGATTCCCTCCCAAACCAGAAAGTGGCAGGGAGTGCCCAGCTTTGTCTTTCTGTTTCAGACAAGAGCATGCTGTGCCGGCTTCTTTGGTCCCCAGTGTCAGGCCTGCCCTGGGAAAGGCCAGAATGTGTGCTTTGGGAATGGGATCTGTCTGGATGGAGTGAATGGGACCGGCAAATGCGAATGTGGCCCAGGCTTCAGTGGGACAGCCTGTGAGACCTGTGCCCAGGGCAAATACGGCATCCACTGTGACCAAGGTGCGCCCCCCCTGGCCCAAACCAGGCAGCTACAGCAGAGAACAGAACCTCCCACACACACCCAGTCCCTTTCTCTAGGCAGCAGGAATCCCACATGGATTAGAAGACCAGCTGTGCTGATTTTCTTGCTTAGGACATTTGCAGTCACTTGAACTCAACCTACCCACCGATTCTCAGTTTTGAACGCCCACCAAAGCCTGACTCTTAAGGTCTAAGAGGCTTTATGAAATGGTCACTCTATCAATTTCCTCTCAGCAAGCTACAGGCTTTGCTTTTGCAAAAACAGTGACCTGTAGCCAGGGATATGCCTGTGAGGAGTTACCAATTCCATGAGCAGAAAACAAAATTGTTGTTTTACTTGGAACTAAACACCACAAACTTAGCTGCTCCTGTTTTCTAACCACTGGCCTATGCCAGACAAAATTAATGTGCAGTCCTGTGATTTCAATTAGGCCATATAATATATTCATATAATAATATATTAGGCCATATGATAGTATTGAAAGGAACATGCTGGGTTGGGGGGGCGAGGTGTTTTTCTGTTCTTTAGAAGCTTGTTTGCCAGCAAATTGTGCTGGAGTTCCTCTAGCCTAAGATCCCTGGGTGGCCTTCAAGGGGTTCAGCAAACTTCTAAAGCTGAATGAGCAAGATACCGACTCATTTCAGACTTCTCCAAGAGCCTCATGACCGTGGTATAAAACAAAGGAGTGACAATTCTATGTCATTGAAGAAGGCAGGACACACCAGGTTTCTGTAAACCCAGTATCAAATGGGCTTCCATTTTAAACTGCCCTCAGGAAACATAACAATGGTCCCATCCCAAGACACCCCACATAGCTCTAGACCCCTGACTGTGACTCTCTGAAAGACAAGGACTTCTTCTCACCATAACCAGGCTGGAGAGCAGAGGCAATAAAGTGTCCCCAGTAAGTGATCAACAAGATGTGGAACACAGATCGCAATCTGATCGTGTGAGGTGCTTTTCCCTCTTAGCGTGTCTTTGTGTCCATGGGAGATGCAACCAAGGACCCTCGGGAGACGGTTCCTGTGATTGTGACATCGGCTGGCGAGGCGTGGCCTGTGACAGAGGTAAGAGCGAGCCCTTTGTGTTGATGACTATGCTTAACCAGGCTTTGCAGAAGCCATATTTTTTTCTTTCTAATTTAGAAAAATGATTGGGTTTTTTTCCCCTTCAGACAGTTAACATAATTCCTTCCTGTAGCAAAAAAGTTTGTAAAAATAAAGAAAAGGCATAAAGAATAAAATAAAAGTTACTCACACTCCCAAGACAGGGAAAAACTATTTCTAGTAGTAATGCAAAAGACAATGATATTGCATATTAGCTGTAATTGTGGATTTGCTTGTTTATAGCATATCGTAATAAAATGATGTTAAAAATAGAAAGAATAACATGGGAAATACAAATAAAAGTAGAAATTGAAAACCCAGGGGAGAGCCACACTTCAACAGCTAAACCATTAGAGCTCAGAATCACATACATGCAAGAGAGAAGTCTGTGTTTTACTCATCTTTGTATCCACACTGCCTAACACAGAGCCTGGCAAGAGGGAGACCCTCTCAGTATATTTGAGCTTCCTGGCAGTCTATGTAAAAAAGGATTTATGTGGTCACATGTGTTTACATAGTTAATGTAATACACACACACACACACACACACACACACACACACACACACACACACACACACACACACACACACACACACACACCTCCAAAGACATTTCCTAGCACTGGGTACTAAGAGAAAACTCCCCAGGGAGGGTTCACCCAGCAACTGCTTCTCTTTTTCAGAGATCACAAAAGATGACTGCAATGGGACGTGCCACACCAGTGCCAAGTAGGTCCCTCTGGCCTCTTTTGGGGATAGTAATATAAAGGAGATTTTTTTCCCCCAGTCCTTCATAGCCCTGACCCAACCTGAGAGAGGTAATTTCTGAGGATTCAGAGCTAAGAATGAAACTGAAAATGTCTCTGAGAAAGCCACAGACCACTGCCCACCACCTTCTCAACCAGCCTTAGCAAGAATGCGTTATCTATTGCTTTGTCTGAGCCACCAGGTCTCAGAGAACCAAGAAACCCAGTGGAGCATTTTAGTAAACCTTTTTTATTTTCCTATTGGGGATGAAACCCAGAACTTCACAATTGCTAAATAAGCACTCTACCAGCAAGCTATACCCCTGACCCAATTACAGTAAGCCTTGGTCCTGATTCATGGTCCTGCCTTGTGTGACTTCCTGCTCCTAGTTCTGTACACAGCTCCTCCTAAACTCCACAGAGCTTAGTGGCTGTATGACAAATGCAACTGCTGGAGTTAGACCAGCGTCCAGAATCAGTCTCTGCCACATCTATGGGATCACATGACCTAGAGCCCATTTTCGACTCCTTCTGAGGCTCAGCTATTCATCCTTCAATGGAAATAACAATGATACCCATTTTCTTTCTGATTGTTTTCATTTTTTATTATCTTGAAGTAGTTGTGCAGAGGGGTTCCAGTTCCACAAATTAGTTTATAAATACAATGCACACTTGGTCCATGTCACCCATCCCATCCTTTTCCCCATTTTTCCCCATTCCACCCAGACCCTCAATTCTATGGTTCCATTTTCACATATGCACTTTGAATAGAATGACTATATCCACCTGCCCTTCCTCTCTATTCAGATGAAAGACACCAACTTTCTAGAGTCACTGAATAGGGAGGGCATAGGCACACCACTCAGCTGAGCCTATGGGCAGCTCCCTGAAGACCAATAGCTGCCCTCTTCATTCCTGGGCTTTTCCCTACTTGTACACCCCCTGGAGTTTGTGAAATGAATGACTACAGCTTTTCTGAACATTCCTCCCAAGTTAGGATGAAAGGCTACAGCCAGTCACCGAATAGAGCAGGGAGTTGGGTTTTTCGTGTTTTTCAAAATCACCAATCCACCTTTCTCCCTTGCAGCTGCCTTCTCAATCTGGACGGCACAGCCTCGTGCAAATGTGCAGCAGGATTCCAGGGCAATGGCACCATCTGCACAGGCAAGCGAAAAGGAATTGCTAAGAGGCACCAAGACTTTGTAAGGGTGACTCAGACATCTGTGGGTGCTGAGCCTGAAAGGACCTCAGCCAATCAGCTGGTGCCAGCCATTAATGGGGCCTGCCCCGGGCAGGTGGTGTACAGGGACAGGAACCTCTCTGTGCATGAATGGGGTGTGTTCCTTTGGAATGAGCAGACAATGGCATTGTGTTCTAAGCAGAGGTTCACAGCCTTGAGAGCAACTAGAACCCACTGGGGCAGATTTTTAAAACTAAGGATTTGGTGCCAGTGGCTCACACCTGAAATCCAAGCTATTCAGGAGGCTAAAATCTGAGGATCAGGAGGCAACCCCAGGCAGAAAAGTCTGTATGACTTATCTCCAATTAAGCACCAAAAAGCTGGAAGCAGAGCTGTGGCTCAAGAGGTAGACTGAACACCAGCCTTGCACAGAGAAAACTAAAGGATCGTGCCTAGGCTCTGAGTTCAAGCCCCAGTACTTGTGTGCACATGCACATGTGCATGCACGTGCACACACACACACACACATGCGCACGTATACACATGCACACACAAGCACAAAGTAAGGATCTGACTGGTCAAGGGCATATCTAGGTCAGTCATCAGGACTCTAGAATGGACCAGGAAATGGTTTAAACTCTGGTTTTCCTCTCCCTCATGCTAAGGCTTTCTGTGGATCTTTGAACTGCTGTTCTGAGCCCCTTTAGCTTACATATAAACTTACTGCTGTTGACATAAACAGGTTCTTGTACACAACAGTAGGTATACACTAGGCTCATCATTAAGCCTCAGGTTTAGATCTAAGTTCTTATATGATCTGTGTCACCTCAGGAAAGCTATCTGTCTGCTCTTTGCCACACTGTCATCTGTAAGTTGGGGTGATAAGTAAACTACTCTCATTGGGTGGGAGGATCTAACCCACATTAATACCTAGAAAGTGTTAAGAAATATGAGTGATTATTCTCTGTGTATGTGGTGTGGGGGGGTGTGGGGGTGGATGTGGGTGTTTTCTATACTGGGGCTTGAACTCAGGGCTCTGCTCTTTTACTCGGCTTTTTCACTCAAAGCTGGCACTCTACCATCTGAGTCACACTTCCACTTCTGAACAATTATTCTTCCATACCTAAGGCACCAGTTTTTAGTGCTAGGAAAACAGAAGCTCTCAGCATCATTGTTTTTTTCCTGAGCACATGTCCTGGACTATAGCAATCTGCTCCTAGCCCATTTTACCAGGGGGGTTCGCCCAAGGATCTATAGTTTCACCATGTTCCTTACAGCAGGAATTGTGCAGTACTACAAAACCAGCTGAAATGGGCAAATAAGTGCAGTGTTTTTGTTGCCTTCTATTCTTCAGAATTGACCCTTCCAGTGCCTCCCAGAGAGGTTCTGAAGTAACTTCCATTTCTCATTGAGCCAAGTTCAAGGGTATCAGTTGATTTCTTTCTCCCCTCTCCCTTTTCTGTGATTCGTCCCTTCCTTCTCTAGCAATCAATGCCTGTGAGACCAGCAATGGAGGGTGTTCTGCCCAAGCTCTCTGCAAAAGGACCATCCCAGGAAGCCGAGAATGTGTGTGCAAGGCAGGCTACACAGGTGACGGCATCGTGTGCATTGGTAAGTGACCATCCACCCCAGGGAATGGTGTGAGTCAGAGCATGTACAGTGACTGCCATGAATTGGTTCTTATTAAGATATACAGCTGAGTCTAGTACTGGTACTCGTGCCTGTAATCCTAGCTACTTGGGAGTCTGAGATCTGAGAATTGTGTTTCAAAGCCAGCTCAGACACACAAATCCAAGAGACTGTTAACCAGAGTCTCTTAACTAGAATTCATCATACATTGGCAAGGAAGCCTTTAAGATAGAAATGATATAACGGCTTGGGGGAGCAATCCATCTCTGAACAATTAAATTACTGTTCATCAAAATGAATACCAGGAAATGGAAACGTTTTGGGAATGGGGGGGGGGCAAAAGGGGACACAGGAATGTTGGGAGAAAGTACGAACAAATGCAGTCATTGTATTCAATGTACACTATGTAAAAAATGAACTATGCAACTTGTGGGTAAGGAAGGGAAGGGAAAATGGGGGGGGAATGAAGGAAGGGGTGACATTGTCCAAGAAGCATTGTACTCAACCTGACTTATGGAATTGTAACTCCATCTTCATCACTTACATATACATATTAGACATTTATACATTTATAAATATATATTATATGTATGTAAGGAAATGAATGACTATAAGAGTATGAAAGTGTATAGTGTCCAAATATCATTTTGGAAGAAGTGAGAAAACTTTTTTTTTGAATTATAGTGAAGTCAAGCACTGGTAGCTCACACCTGTAATTCTAGCTATTTGGGAGGCTGAACCTAATTATATGTATTTTCCTTTGGGCATTTGGGAGTAAATATGTATGTGTCATATTCAATTTATTTCTAAAAAAATCAAGCATGCATTTCCCAAGAATAAGGGACGCTTCTCACATGACCACAGCACATTTATCTTTAGTAAATTTATTATTGATATAATAGTTCCCCTCAGTATTATTCATATTCTAATTTTGTCAATAGTTCAATAAGGACATTTTTTTTTCAGCTTTTTCCCTCCAGTTCAGGACCCAGCCTAAGTCTGAGGATAGCATTTAGTGTCATCAGTGGCCAGAGAGGCCTTACTCCAAGGAAATGTCTTGGTTCTCATCAAAATATCCTAAGCATGCATGCACAGACAGACAGACAGACAGAGGTAGAGATATCATTTTTATTCCTGTCACTCACTGCTAGATTGGACTCCAACCTTCCATTACTTCAAGTCCTGTCTACAAACACCCATGTGCATTCCACAAAGGGACAAACTTGAGCCTACAGACGGACTATGTCTGCTGGGATTTTGTGTATGTATATATGTAACACGATCCCTATTGAGTTAGCTGGGCCTCTGAATTGTTAGAAAACAGAATTGCACTGTGACAGATACCTGCTGCTGTTGGCCAGCTAACCAAGTAACCTCAGGTCCCTAGTGAACCCCTCTTTGATTGGAAGCGAGGTTTGATGCTGTGACAGCTGTTGGCTTTTTGTTTCAAAGAAATCAACCCATGCTTAGAGAACCATGGTGGCTGTGACAAGAATGCAGAGTGCACGCAAACAGGACCCAACCAGGTAAGCTCCCCCTCCCTAAGTGTCCTGGAGGGAACTCCTGGGTCTTAAGACACAGCCCTGAGAAAAAGAGGCTGAGAACAGACCTCTGCCCAGCTGTGACCACACATACTTTAGTATGTGATGAAAGTGTAAGAGGCCAATCTTTGGAGATGAGGGCAAAATGAGGGGGACAAAGGACCCTCAGAAAAGGCACCTCCCTGCAGTGGGGAGAAGTAGGCATCTGAGAACACCAGATGATCCCTGAAGCACCTAGAAGTTTCCTAGAAATGACCTTTTTTCTTCCAGTTCTCTCATGCCTAGAATCACACCTGCTTTTCCTTAGCTCAAGGCTCTGACTTGTGCAAATCACAGCAGACACTCCTATTTCGGGCCTCTGTCAATCATACCAAACAGAGTCAGGTAGTGCCCTTCAGGCACTACCAGGCACAGCCAGTTTGAGGAGATGGTAAAAAATAAAAGGACCCCAGCATCAGAGGTTGAGGGTGATGGGGTGAAAAGACACAAGAGTCCAAAATCCTATACTCTGCCTCCTCTGGGCTTGGTCACATAGAGAACACACAAAACAGCCAGCCAAGAAAGTCCATGCAGCTGAAATTGGGTGGCGAAGTCATCTCCTGTGGAGATGGTTGAGGTTTGGTGTCACATCCTTGTCTGGGAAGATCAAGCAAGTGCTCACAATACCCAAAAGTAAGGGGGGAAATGCTTGTGTTAAAGAATTGTGTGTCTGTGCCCATGTAGGTACACATGTGCACACAGGGAAAATCACAAACAGACAGATAGATAGATGTTTCTGTAGAGTTATTTCAAACTCTAACCCCCCTGGAGTGGAGCAAAGCCATAAGAGCTCTGGTACTCAAGCCCATGATGAAGGGATAAAGAAGGAGGATCAGTGGAAATCTGCTTCTGTGGCCCTGAATGGCCCCACTAATGAATTCAAGTTCTAGTAGAGTCGGCTGACCAGAACCTAGGTCTGCTGCCACCTGGGAGGCTATTCTGTATGAATTAGAAAACTGATTGTCCTATCTGTCTAGATAGGACCAAGAGCCAATGCAGTCTCCTCTGACATTGCTATTAACCTGACAGAACTTGAGTCTCACAGCCAGCCCACTAAGCCAGTGTGACCCCATTTGTAAAATGATCCCTGTGCTTCTACTACTGGACAGGCTGTCTGTAACTGCTTGCCAAAGTACACGGGAGACGGGAAGATCTGCACACACATTAATGTCTGCTTATTTGTGAGTATGCCCAGGCTGGCTTCAGAGCCACCCCTCCCCTACCCCCATCTCTCCAGGGGATGCTTCAGTGAGGGGATCACCCCCCACCCCCAGATGTCTTGAAGCAGCTTCTGGGCCAGGAGATTCATTTCTCTCTCGTGGCCCACTGTCATGTTGGAAAGAAACAGGGCAGCCTCTGCTATTCCACCTTTAGAAAGGGGCATGAGACATACATCTTGAACGCTTCCTCTTGTCTTTCTCGCTAAAGAGCAATGAGGCGCCAAATAATCAAAATGTTCATCTTGGGCTCTGTGAGCCCAAGCAAAGAATCCAGAATTCGGAGGGGACAAAAGAGCATCGCCATGCCCAGCCTCAACGTATTTAACAATAAGAATGTAAAGCAATGGGTATGTGATCAAACCAGACAACAACCTAGCTTGCTCCCAGCCCTGATTTATATGACTTAAAGGCTTTGGATGGTTTGCTTCTTGAGACCTCTTTCCTTGAGAGGTTGTGGACGGAGAAGCCAGGTCTCTAATGTATCATAGCCTGAAGCATCAGCTTTTTTTTAACCATTAATTAGCTGGACAGTATCTGTGTCTGTCTATTCTGAATAAGTTGTTAGGTTTTTTTTTTTTTTTTCCTTAACACAGAAACCATTTCTGTAAAGCTAGGGGGAAGGCCACATTGTCACCCACACCAAGTCAGTGGACACATACAACCTACCAGGCAGTGTCCTGGGCTCTGGGAACTTATCAGTGACTTGGAAATGGCATCACATGGCATGAATGTAAACACTGCAGTGTGGAAGCTCAGTCAGGGGCTGGGTGAGCCATGCTTGCAGGAGGCAGACAGATACCAGACAGATACCCTCCCTCCCCTCCCCGCCCCCTGCATACCTACCTTAGTAAGAAGGGTGAGTTTCAGAAAGCTCAGAGAAGGGTCTGTGAGCACAAGAAAGAGTGATCACGTCATCAGAAGGTGGGCATCCACAACAACTTGGAAGTAGTGTCAATAGGGTGAGAGATAACCAAAATGTCCAGGCCTCTGGGCTGAAATGAGGTCATCAGCAAGGTGGGACAAGAAAGGATCCATCTTGGTAGCCTATCTTTCTCCATGAATCTCCTCCCCTCCCTCCCTCTCTCCCTTTCTCTCCCCTCCTTCCCTCTCTCCTTTTCTCCCTCTCATCTTCCCTCCGTCACCGCTCTCTCCCTCCCTTCCCCACTGCACTTGGGAAGGGACCCAGGGATTTGTATGTGCTAGGCAAGCACTCTGCACCTACCCCTCAAAAGAAAAATAATAATAAGTTCCAATACAAATGATTTGACACATCTTGCCAAAGCTGTCACAAAAACTGGTCTGACTGATCCCTGTCCCCAACCCCTTGGCCATTTTCCCAGAACAATGGAGGCTGCAGCCCATTTGCTGTGTGTAACCACACTGGGGAAGATAAGAGGACGTGTACCTGCAAGATGAACTACACCGGGGATGGAATCACCTGCAGAGGCAGCATCTACGAGGTAACGCAGACACGTGGCATGCAAGGGCTTTGCAAATGCAAAACTCACTAAAGATGCTAGGAGGTATATTTTACTGCTGTTATTGAAGAGGGTTTTTTTTTTTGGGGGGGGTGTTTTTGCCAGTCCTGGGGCTTGAACTCAGGGTCTGGGCTCTGTCCTTGAGCTTTTTTGCTCAAGGCTAGCACTCTGACACTTTGAGCTACATGCTGTACCACTTCCAGTTTTCTGGTGGTTAACTGGAGCTGAGAGGCTTACCAACTTTATTGCCCAGGCTGGCTTTGAACTGGATCCTCAGATTTCAGTATCCTGAGTCTCTCTCTCTTTTTTTTTTTTTTTTTTTTTTTGGTCAGTCATGGGGTTTGAACTCTGGGCTTGGGCGCTGTCCCTGTGCTCTTCAGCTCAAGGTGAGCACTCTACCATTTGAGCCACAGCGCCACTTCCAGTTTTCTAGTGGTTTATTGGAGGTAAGAGTCTCACGGACTTTCTTGCCTGGGCTGGCTTTGAACCGTGATCCTCAGATCTCAGCCTCCTGAGTAGCTAGGATTACAGGTGTGAGCCACCAGCGCCTGGCTTGAGTCTCTTTTTTTTTCTTTTTTTCTTTTTTTCTTTTTTCTTTTGTCAGTCATGAGACTTGAACTCTGAGCCTGGGCACTGTCTCTGACCTCTTCAGATCAAGGCAAGTGCTGTACCTCTTGAGCCACAGTAACATGTCTGGTTTTCTGGTGGTTAATTGGAGATAAAAGTCTCACAGACTTTCCTGCCCGGGCTGGCTTTGAACCACAATCCTCAGATCTCAGCCTAGTAGCTAGGATTACAGGTGTGAGCCACTAGCACCCAACTATGAGTTTCTTTTTGAATCTGTGAATGAAAATAATGGTGGGCACCCTGCTAGGTTGTCCTAAGAGTGAAATACAATGAGGTACAGAAAGGATCAGAGCACGCAACAGCACCAAAGCATTGCTACGGCTCTGATTGCTGAGGAATGTATGTTATGACGTGTGTGATATGTGCAGGCATGTGATGTGTATGTGTGATGTGTGTTTGTGATCCATGTATAGTGTGTGAGAGATGTGCATAGTTTGTATGTGATATGTAATTGCATGTGGGGATTATGTTTGTGTGTATTAGTTGTGTGGTTTATGATATGTATATGTGGTTTTGTCTGTTCATGGTGTGCAAGGTGTGGTGTGTGTGTGATGTGTGTGGCATGGTATATGCGTGTGGCATGTGTTAGAGATGTGTGTAGCATGTGGTCTGGTGTATGTACATACTATACATGGGGAAATGTGAGTGTTGTGTGCGTATGTGTGCATATGATGTGTGCTATGTATATGGTATGTTTTAGTGGGTGTATAGTTGTGTGTGTGGCATGTGTGAGGTATAGGGGTATGTATGTTTGTGTGTAATGCATGAGTATTGTGTGCCTGTGTATGACGTGTATATGCTGCATGTTAGAGTTACGTGCATGATGTGTACATGTGTTTGATGTGTATGAGATGTTCATGTGTTTGATGTGTGTGGTGTGTGGCTGTCCGTGTGACTTCATGTGTATGTTTGTGATATGGAGGTGGGGGATGAGTGTGCATAATGTGGTTATATGTGTGTGTCTGGTGTGGTGGGGGGGTGGGTAAGTGGATGTTATGTGGCTGCCCAGGGACCTATCTATACTGGACATAGTAGTGGTAAGATGCTTGCAGGTATTTTCCTATTATAAAGTAAATGGTTGTTGGTTTAAAGAGGGACTAGACAGAACATCTGGCTGATCAAATATGCCCACAAATAAGGAACCAAGTTTGCTGAAACCCTATAACTGACGTTTGAAAACATTTACTATAGTCAAAATAGTTTTGTCCATAGTTGAGCATCATTCTGCAATGGCCCTAAATCTCAGGTGCTTTGGAAACGGCTGGGCCTCCCTTTGATAAAGCAGAGGGAGGTGCCAGGGTGTGTGTGGCCATGCCGACCATCAGCGGTCAGTCCAGAGCCCGGGCTCGGGGGAGGGGGGAGCTACCACCATCAGGGAGCCATGGCCGCACAATGCCAGTGCACAGGAGGGGACAGCAGACACTGACAGAGTAGAATTGTTCTGCCTGTCCCTGCTCTGTCTGCCAGGCCATGCACCAGCTCAAGCAAATCTACTGCCTTGTTTACAGGAACTTCCCAAGGACTGGAAAACATCCCAGTATTTCTTCCAGTTGCAGGTAAGGAGGTGTGGGTCTGCCGCACTGTAAGTCGGGTCTCAGCCAGACACAGAAGAGGGCAGACCCATGCTAATGTCGTGTTGGTGCCTTTTTTTTGACAAAAATGCTTAAGAAGTTAAAAAAGAACAAAATTAAGAAAAAGCTTCTAGATAAGAACATATCATAGGGAAGACAAATGAACGTGGCTTATACCTATAATCCCAGCTACACAGGAGGCAGAGATGAGATTGTGGTCTGAGGCCAGGCAGGCAAAAGCACAAGAATTAACTAAGATAAAAAGGGCAGAGCACTACCAGCCTAGGAACATGAGGCCCTGAGTTCAAACTCCATTTCTCCCTGTAAAAGAACAATATAAAAGGACTGGGAAGGTGGCTCAGTGGTAGAGCACTTGCCTTGCATGCATGAGGCCCTGGGTTCAATTCCTCAGCACCACATAGGCAAAAAGAAAAAAAAGCCGGAAGTGGCGCTGTGGCTCAAGTGGTAGAGCGCTAGCCTTGAGCTGAAGAGCTGAGGGACAGTGCCCAGGCCCAGAGTTCAGGCCCCACGACCGGACCCAAAAAAAAAAAAATTTAGAAGAACAATATAAGGGGCTGGGAAGGAGGCTCAGTGGTAGAGTGCTTGCCTCACATGCATGAAGCCCTGGGTTCGATTCTTCAGCACCACATAAGCAGAAAATGCCGGAAGTGGCGCTGTAGCTCAAGTGGTAGAGTGCTAGCCTTGAGCTGAAGAGCTGAGGGACAGCGCCCAGGCCCAGAGTTCAGGCCCCATGACCAGCAAAAAAAAAAAAACAAAAAACTTAGAGCTGCACATGTTTATATTGTAAGCTAAATGCTATTATAAAAAGAAACAAAAATTTAAGAAGTTTAAAGTGTATAAAGTTAAAAGTAAAGCTAAGGTTATTATTGAGGAAAAAGGGGTTTTTGTTTTTTTTTTTCAATTTAGTGTAGCCTAAGGTTTGTAAATTCTATGTCTAGGCTTTCACATTCCCTCCCAACTCTTTCCCTATCACCCAGAGCAACTTCTGGCCCTTCAAGCTCCAGTTATGGAGCTTGAAGTCTATTCAATAGACCATTTCTTAATATTTGTATTACATTTTACCAGACTTCCTCTATGTTCCAATATGACAGGGTTCATAAATATTAGCCATTGTATGACAGTTGCCTACAGTATTGGGTACAGTCAACAGCTCTTCAGGTTTGTAGCCTGGAAGCCAGAGGCTAGATCATATAGTTCACATATGAACTATATGGTCTATAGAGGCTGGACCTCTCCCCTCTGTGTAAGTTCACACTATGATGTTCACACAATGACAAAAATCACCTAACAACACATGTCTCAGAACCCATCCCACTATGTAGTGATAAATGGCTAGATACAGAGAAACTTATCACCCAGGCAGACAAGAAACATCACTGCGGCAACTGGTTAACATTTGAGTCGAAACACACAAATTATGATCTTTCTGTACTTCATATATCCAGATAAATCTCAGATATGTTGATGAATAAACTATTAAAAATTGAAAGGATAAAATCATAAAGAGCTAGAAGAGGTAACCATAGTAACCATATGGTCGTAACATCTAGTCAGTGATAACAGTTAAGTGAACCATCTTCATTTTTTCTGTTTGTACGATTGTCCCAGTTGTATAAAACATGAAGAAGCTAGGCACTAGTGACTCATGCTTGTAATCTTAGCTACTCAGAAAGCTGAGATCTGAGGACTGTGCTTCAAAAACAGCCTAGGAAGACAAATCCATGAGACTCTTATCTCCAGTTAAGCAACAAAAAGCCAAACATGGAGGTATGGCTCAAGCGGCAAGGCACCAGCTTTGAACAAGAAAGCCAAAGCAGACAAGGCTCTCAGTTCAAGCCACAGTACCTGAACCAAATATATATATATATATATATATATATATGTATATATATATATACAAACTGTATAGAAATATATAGAAATCGATTACACATATGTAATGTTTCTTGTCTGCCTGGGGCAATGAAAGTTTCTCTGTGTATATATAATATATATTATATATATATTTAATATTTATTTATTTAAAGATAATAGCCACCTCTGGCTGGCTGGATGATAGGGTTACTCATAATTTTCATTTTTGTGTTGTTACTTTCCAAATTTTTAATGCAACAAATGAGTGTTAGTTTTGTAACTGAGAAATAACAAATATGATTTTCATGGCAGAGGATTTGAGTTTAATTTGGATCCAAGACTAAGACCCAGGCCTCCTCATCCTCTTTGTGCTGACTGACATGCCTCTGAGCCCTTTCTATGTCTGTACAAGGAAAAGAATTCTCTGCCCCACCTCTCTGTGCAATGAGTGATGTGTGGCTCCCCTCCCCTCCCCCACACCCCAATGCAGGTGCATGCTGTCCGAGAACTGGCTGGGCCGGGTCCCTTCACAGTCTTTGCACCTTCATCTTATTCCTTCAATGAAGAGCCCCAGGTAAGCATGAGGCTGGGAACATATAGGAAAGCTTGGGAATCTCACCCTGGAACCAGTAATGGTGATGATTTTGGACAGAAGATATGGGATGAGCAATGATAGAAGCAGCTGCCTGTCGGCACAGGGACCTCTATCAAGGGCAACATTTGGTGGACTTAACACTGACTGGAGAACTTCTAAAGGGGATGCCTTAAACATAGCAGGAAATTGGAAAAGATCAGCAACTCTTAAGCAATCCAAACTTCCCATAGACCAAACAAGGAAAGAAAATAGATAATGGATGGATGGATGGATGATAGATGGATGGCAAATAGGCTCTTGTCTTGCCAGACGTGGCAGAGCCTTTACTGTTCACCTGCTTCATTAGCATAAATAATCATGATTGCTAACATTTAGTGGGTGTGCCAGGCACAATTCTGGGGGCCTGGCCTAGATGAATCATTCAGTCCTCACATCAGATTTGTGAGTTGAGGGCTACTAGTACCCCCATTCCACAGTGGAGGACAGTGGAGGAAACAACTTCCCAAAGTTACAGGACAACAGGTATCCTAGTAAGGGCTTGTTCTTACCTACTGCACATACTGCCCCTCACAAGTACAGTATGCACACCAGCAAAGCAGAAACCCCAAAATAATGTCAGAAATCACTGACACTGGATAATGGCTTTAAAGCTACAAAGGAGCCATCCTGGATCTGAGAAGTTTGTGGGTTTCTATTACACTGACTTTATGATCAATAGTGTTTGTGCTGGGGATTCCAAGTGGAGATACGTCAAGTGATCCTGTCACCTCATCCAAGAAGGAGACATGCTATACAGTCTTTTGCTACATGATTCTCAAGACAAGTCTTCCTTTAAGGAAGCTGGTATAGGGCTGGTATAGAGGAACCACATCTCTTCCGCACTGAGATTCGACAACGGAAACTCAAGGAACTAGGACCACCTGACCCTTTGCCTGAATGGCTTCTCCCTGAGCCCCTGATACAAGCCAGGCCTGATGCCCACCTCCTGGAACCTGACTGGGAAGAGAGCAGAGAGAAAATGGAGGGGAGGAGAGGAGAGAAGATTGGAGCAAAAAGCACCTGCCCCCAAACCCTTCTATGTATTACAGATCGCGGACTGGGACCAACAGGGAGTGATACCCCAGATTCTTCGGTATCATATGGTTGCCTGCCAACAGCTACTCCTGGAAAATCTGAAATCCATCTCGCATGTTACTTCTCTTCAAGGAGAGCTGCTTAGCATCTCTGTCTCCCAGGTAAGAGCAGTGACCTCAAGAAGATCGTACTTCCTTAGTCCTCTCTCTCCTCCTTTTCATTGGAGCAGTGAGTTAATAATAACTATAGATATATTTATATATGTAGTTATATAATATTTATTATTTATACAATATATCACTTATATATTTATATGTTCATATATTATACTTATATAATATACATTATTTATGTTATGTCTTTATATATTATATGCTTATATAATATATACTATATTATAATGTATATATTATATATATTACATATTGTATATGTTGAGTAATTTCTTTATGCAACTATTCTAATATTTTACACATTCTGACTCATGCCTCAAAATAGCCCCATGAAATAAACACTATTATTATCCTCATTTTCCAATTAAGAAAATTGAGCTTAGTGAGATGAAGTAACTTGTCTAAGGCCACACCACAGGCAAATTGTTGACTTGGAATTCAATCTCAGAGGCAGGTCAGCTCAAAATAGGCAAAGGGAGAAAAGTGTGCACAACACACATTAAGAAGTGTGCACATTACCTTGCTCATTTAACTGTAACCCCTCACAATAAAAACATAAAAAAAGAAGTGTGCACACTTATAATCCCAGCTATTCAAGAGGTAGATAGTAGGAGGTTTTTGAGTTTGAGACTAGCCTGGGAAAAATATTAGAAAGTCCACATGTATGATGGTGCATACCTGTAAACCCAGCTACTCAGGAGGAGGAGACAGTAACGTTGCAGTCTAGGGTGTCCAGGGAAGAAATCGAACAAAACTTTATCTAAGATAATAATAATAATAACAACTTAAAGCAAAGACTAGGGAAGTTAGTCAAGTCATAGAGTACCAACTTAACAAGTACAAAAAAAGTACTGCCAAAAATAACTACTTCTTCACTTTCAATTTCAGAATTATATCAAAATGATTATTTTGTTTGGTTAGATATTATTTGTCATTAACTCCTCCTAAGTCATAATAAAAAATATGGCATCCTGTGGGAATTGATTTCATGAATTTCCCTCACTCATTTGTTTTTATTTTTTTCTCTTTGGCTGACTTCAGGACACAGTGTACATAAACAATAAGGCTAAGGTCATAGCCAGCAATATCATCAGTACCAATGGGGTCATCCATGTCATAGACAAATTGCTGTCTCCTCAAAATTTGGTCATCACCCCCAGAGACACCTCCGGGAGGATTCTGGTAGGTAAACTCTGTCATTTTCTTAGTGCAAAGGGACTCCCACATGACTGTCTCCATTCTGATCTTGAGCTATCACATGGAATTATTGTAACTTCATTGTAAGTTTTGTGCACCTTAGAAGCTGCAACCTCAGGCTATCATCCAAGGTCTAGGATATATTATTCTAGGTAAGATATAATAAGCAAAAATGTGTTTTAAATCAGTAGTTTACTTTATCCAGGTACAGTGACATAGGTCTACAGTCCCACCTACTCAGGAGGTGGAAGCTCAGGAGTTCAAGGCCAGCCTAGAGCAACATAGTGAGATGCTATCTGATATAGACAGACAAGTAAATAATTTTGTAAGTGTTTATTTCTTGTCCATAAGGGTAGATGGTCCATTTGGAACATGAAGTAGGGAGTAATGAAGGGAGGGAGAGAAGAAAGAAGACAATCATTGATGAGTAGTAGATAGATAAGATTAGAAGTGGTTAAAACTAAACCTGGAATGAAACTCCTCAATGGATAGGAAAGATTATTTTTACTTTTATTTATGTGAGTATTATAGACTTCATAAACCACTATTCCTTACTTATACAAAAAGAGTTTCTAGAGATACTAGGTACTTCACTGAATCTCTTTAAAGTTGAGCTTAGAGGCTACACAACTAGAAACTGTGCAGCTCAGGGAAGCCTGTGGTAGGAGGACCCTCAACCACCCTACAGAGCCTTCTGGCTCTAACCACCATGTAGATTCTACTTTTCCCACCTCCCACCCAGGGCCCTACAGACTGGAGAGCAGGTGTCACCACTGCTGTGTTTCAGGTCTGCTGTTCCTGCCAACACCTACTAGCACTTCTGCTTGGTGGCTTCTGTGTCATGGGTGGGGCTGTAGCTGCAAGAGAGTCCAGGCACTGTAGTGCCTTCAAGCCTCTGTAATGCAGAAAAGCCTGAGCAGAAGAGAGGAACCATGGGACTTGTTCAGTTCTCTACCCATGATTCATCTTCACTGGATTTAGTTGAATTTTTTTAGTTGAATTTTTTGTTCAACGTTGAACAGTCTAAGAACAGCTTTTGTGTCCATTCTTGTCTTTGCAGCAAAATCTCACCACAACGGCAATCAACCATGGCTACCACAGATTTGCTAAATTAATACAGGTAAAAACAAAAGGGGAAGATGGTTGACAACAGACTGCCTTAAAGAAGTTTGTCTTATTGGGCTTATTTGTGTGTATATCTACCAGCTGTTGTGGGATCTATATGAGGAAGTCCTAATTTTCTGGAGAACAAAGTCATTTTCTGTCTCTGTTCACCAGGCACTGGTGGCTCATGCCAAGTAACCCTTGCTATACAGGAGCTGAGATCTGAGGACCATGCTTTGAAAGCTAGCTGGGGCAGGAAAGTCTGTGAGCCTCCTATCTCCAACTAACCACCAAAAACCTAGAAGTGGAAATATGGCTCAAGTGATAATGCACCATCCTTGAATAAAAAAGCCAAGAGAGAGCATGAGGCCCTGAGTTCAAGTGCTGGTGCTTGCGTACACACACACACACACACACACACACACACACACACACACACTAAATGTATGATGTCAACCTAATCAATGTACATTGGCTTAGTCAGAAACAAATATTTAAGTTGGCTGGGGAGAGGGAAAGACAGTGGAATGTCCCAATGCCCAGATTAGATGTTTCACATAAAAGAGATGAGGAAGCTCAGGTGGAGAGCTAGCCAGCCTTGGCTATCTAGGTAAGGCAGAGAGAAATTAGATTTATTATGATTCCGAGATTGTTCCCAAATATGGAGTAAATCCTTCCTGAGTGGACCCTCCAAAGGACTGTGTTTGGTAGCATGCCCCATAAACCTGATTCAGCCAGAGGTTGCCCAAGTGCCTTGAGTCTCAGGCTCTCCAGCTTGTTAGAATGGGGGTTCAAGATGTCCAGAGTTCTGGGTGCCAGTGGCTCATGACTGTAATCCTAGCTACTCAGGAAGCTAAGATCTGAAAATCATGGTTCAAAGCCTACCCAGGCAGGATAGTCTGTGAGACTCTTATCTCCAATTAACCACCAAAAAACTGTAAGTGGTGCTATGGCTCAAAGTGTTAGAGCACTAGTCTTAAGCCATAGAGCTCAAGGACAGTTTCCAGGCTCTGAATTCAAGCCCCACAACCAACACGGGCAGGGGGGAAGGGGTCCAGAGTGAAAATCTCATAGCTAAGTAATCTTTGCCAACCTTCCCAACACCTCCCTACCATTGATATGTGCTTTTAGAAGAATTTAGCAAAATTCTCTAGGGTCCAATAAAAGACAATAGTAAAATCTAATTCATAAAATTGTTGGGAAAAAGTTACAGAAAAACTGTCTATAGCACACCCAGGCCACACTCTGGACATGGCAAAAATGATTCCTCCCTATTTGTCTCAATTCAGAAGAACTGAGGAGCTAGAAATTTTATATATGCACAGGAGTTGTCTTGCACACGCTTTTGCTTTTAGTAAATAAGATAGAAGCACAATGCTAAGCTGATCTTTTCACAGCTTGAAATATTTGGGCAGAAGTAGAATACATCTACCCAAATTTTAGTGACGTTACTCACTAAAATTTATTTTCCTATTAACAGAAGCCTAAGAGTTGAACTTCCCAGTTTGCCTTCTAAAGAAACCTGGGTGAGAATGGTTGGAGAATGACAAATCCTCTTATTCCTCACTATGCTATTCCAAAACCGCCAAGAGTCCAGACCAGCCATAGACAGGACACAAAGGGGATACTCAGAGAGACCCCGTGCCCACACAGCAGAGACTTACTCATGGTATGTGCCAGTGAGGGCCTCATTCTTGTATTTCAGGACTCAGGCTTGCTGAGTACCATCACTGAACCCATCCACATCCCAGTCACATTGTTCTGGCCCACAGACCAGGCCCTCCAAGCTCTACCTGCTAAGCAACAGGAGTTCCTATTCAACCCACTCAACAAGGACAAGCTGGAGGAGTATTTGAAGTTCCACGTGATCCGAGATGCCAAGGTATTTTGTTTGCACGCACAAGACAGCATGGGAATGTACCAGAGGTGACACCATGAAGCACTGAACCGTGGAGGCCCAGCAATTATCAATGTGCCTCCAGGCCCAGGATGGGCCATTCCCTGCTCAATGCATCCTTTTCTGATTGGCTGTGGTTCATTGCACTCTATAGTACAACCAGACCCAGTTCTATTTACTGGACTAATGTCCAATACCAAAACTATCTTTCTCTTTTGACTATACAGTAGCCTTTCTCCTCCTTTGCACATCAGAATGCTATGGATGACAAGATTTTTAAGCTAGACTGTCTCCTTAGTTCCAGAATAACTAAGCAAGTGACTGCTTCATCTTGAAGTAGTCAGCTATTGGGATCACAGTGGCCACTCTGGTGGATTCAGATTTCTGCAGGGCAGAGGCCATCCATTCCAAGAATGCCAGTGCCTAACTCCAGTTCATTCATGGCACCCCAAACTACATTGCAAATTACCACACTCTGAATGGCCTGACACAGCAGAAATGGATCCCTTCCTAGTTCTAAAGGCTAAGATTCAAGCAAAGGTCCAAGAAGATTGTTCCTTCTCAGAGAATCCACTACCTCTTCTCGCCCAGCTTCTGATGGCATTCCTTGGCTTGTGGCTGCATCTCTTCCATCTCCTCCTCCATCTTCTCCCTGTATGCCTCAGGGTCTTCATATGACAATCCTCTTCTTGCTCCTTTGAAGGACATTGTTTATAGTAGATTAAGAGCCCTCCCTGCTCCAGGACAAATTCATCTTCCTGAGTGACATGGGCAATGATCTTTTTTTCCCAAGTAAGGTCCTATTTTGAGATCCTGGGATGTCTACATAACTTTCTGAGGGGCACAACTGAGCCCCTTAGTGCCACCTAGGCTATTTCCCAGCCAATCTTGTCATTTGCCGAGAACTATCTTCTGGGATACCCCAGCATAAGTAAGATGGAAGGGTTGACTGAGATGGTCTCTCTAGGAGAAATTTTCACTATCTGGAGTGCATGGTTATTTTTCCTTTTGATTACATCCTCGGTCATGTCATTTTAAAGCTGAAATTATTGTAATGTTGTACAAAATTTGGAAAACTTATATCTGGAGTTGACTTGTTGGCAAAGCTCCTCTCTGAGCCCAAATGGGAGGAAGGGGTGTTAATGGGGTATCATTTCTCCTGCAGGCTTTAGCTACAGATCTCCTGAGATCGGATTCCTGGAAGACCTTGCAGGGCTCTGAGCTAAGAGTGACATGTGGAACTGGCAATGACACTGTGAGTCATGGGGTGAGGAGAAGTGGGGGGAGGGAGGTGGTCAAGATACCTATGAACAGTAAGCTGTTCTCCAACCGCTTCTCATTTTGGTCAGTACCTTCCCAGCTGCTTCCCAGAGAACACACAATTGCTAAGAAACCATGGATAAACCCCAATCATCCAAAGCCCTCAGAGTGAGAACCAAGAACCTTGTGGGTTTGGAGAACAGGTTCCTGTTGCTCTGGGTTTGGGGGGGGGGTTCATTTTTTTTCTGAGTCTTGTGGCTTGGAAGGAAAAGAAGTCTAACAGGAACTCCCCACCCCCACCTCTCCCTCTCTCTCTCAGGGTGAGCTCTTTCTAAATGATCAAATGTGTAGGATTGTGCAACGGGGGCTCCAGTTTGACGTAGGCGTGGCCTATGGCATTGACTGCCTGCTGCTGGATCCCACCTTGGGGGGCCGCTGTGATACCTTGGCTGCCTTCGACGTGCTGGTCAGTCCTAATACTACCACCTCAGTAACAAAACCTTGGGCACAGGCTCTCTTAGGATCCCTCCTGGGGAAGTTTGGAGGCGAGTCTTCAGTGAGAACAGGACTCAGGAGACTTAAAGTCTATGTGATGGAGCTCTTCAACCTCATAATCCACAAGTGCCCGCTGAGCTTGAGGCAAGCCCTGAGCATCCTTGCTTATCCACCACCCACCACTTCACTCACCCCTTCATCACGAAGGAAGCGGTTCTTAGATACCAACTGTGTATCAAAATCCAGACCACTCAGTCTCTAACCCACCCATCTACTTATTCATTCAACAGGTTCTGAGCTCCTAACCCACATTCAGGAATACAAAACTGTTATCTCCAACCATTTGGAGCCTAGAAGAATGACAATTTCCTATGCTTGAATCTAACTACATGGCATGTGCCTGTTCGTTCAAGTCACAACGTTGATAGAGCTTTTATGCTATATTCTCCTATCAGATGCTAAACGTTTTCACATTCACTCACTCATCCAGGAAGTGCTACTTATTGAACATCACTTGAAGCTCTCCTGTCAGCTCCATGCATGTTTTACCCCCACAGTAATCTGGTAGTGGGCATAGTTATTATAGCTACTATATAAATTCGGAAATCAAGGCTATACCTTGTACATTATAAAACTGTCATGGATGGATGGACCTGCAATCTCAGCTACTGTGAGAGGTGAGAGAGTAGGAAGATTGAATGGTGATCCAAGTTAACCCTGGGAAAAAACAATTTTTGAGGCACTATCTGAAAAATGCTCTTTTTCTTTGTGCCAGTACTGTTGCTTGAACTAAGAATCTCACACTCTTGTTTGGCTTTTTCTGCTAGTCACACCTCTACTTCCAGCTTTTGGCCAGTAAATTAGAAATAAGAAATTCTCTGATGTGTTTGCTTGGGCTGGTTTTGAATTGTGATCCTCAGATCTCAGCCTCATAAATAGCTAGGATTACTTGTATGAGTCACTAGAACCCAGCCCCAAAAAGCTTCAAAGCAAAAAGAGCTGAGGGCATGGTCCAAGTGGCATACCACCAGCCCAGGAAAAAACTAAGTCCCTAAATTCAAACCCCAATTCTTCCCAAAGGAAAAAGTAAGTAAAATTAAAACTACAGATCAAGGGTATAAGGGATTATCCAAAAGTATCCCAGTAACTTGAAATGGAACTACACTTAAATTCCTATGTCTAATTGTTACCACAATGTGCCTGTCTCATCCTGACCTGGGACAGCTCTATAAAGCACAGAACTTTGCCCAAAGAATGAAACCCAAGAACTGAGAACCAAAATAGACCTTCAGAAATCTCCATGACCAAGTTGTTGTGTGTTTATTTTGATATTCTTAATCATAGCCAGAACCTTAATCAAGAATAAGATCTTCATCAGCCCACCCAGACAATAACCAAGAAAACATTTCCTTGCACTTTTCATTATTTATCTTAAAATTGCTCTCTTTCCTTGCATACTAGACCCAGACAATAACCAAGAAAACATTTCCTTGCACTTTTCATTATTTATCTTAAAATTGCTCTCTTTCCTTGCATACTAGGGTGAGTGTGGGAGCTGTAGTAATACACCCAGATGCCCCACCTGGAGCAAATCCAAGGTAATTTTAAATGCAGCCACAAACGATGGAGAGGTATCGTGTCCTTGAGAAGCATCATCCTTCTGGGGTGTTAGTGTGTGTGCTGGGTAGGAAGGGGTGGGAATGTCTGATAAATGCAATTTGTGTTATTCTTCCAAAGCCAGATCAGTAGGATGAGCACTGGGCATTCTTAGCCCAGGCTGTCTATCAACCTATTACCCCTCCACCCCTCTTCTAGGAGCTGCTAGAAAAGTCATGGGAGTATAGACCTAGAAGAGAGGCCAGTGATGAGTATAGTTATAATCATGGCTACATTTTGCTGGCTGTTGTCCAGTCCTAGGTATTGTGCTATATATGACTGATATAGATGGATGATAGACAATAGATAATTAGATAGATAGAGCTAGATGATGATGATGATGATGATGATGATGATGATGAGAGAAAGTATACCCTGTTGCTCATTATATTTACCTGTAGGAAGCTATTGGGTCACCCCAATTTTCTCATAAGAAAATGAATTTCAGAGAAGGCAAGAAATCAGCCCAAAGGCACACAGCTAGTAAGGAGCAGAACTAAGATTAAATCCATATAAATTTGTGGTTTAGCCAATTAGTGTCAGAGATCCAGGATCAAATTCTGATCATCTTTGGCAAGTTGCATAATCTTTTAATTTTGCTTCTGTAAAAACAGAACTAATAATCCTTCTGTATATGGTTATTAAAGGAAAATAAAACTTCAAATAGTTGTACATTCAAATGCTTGACATACTGTAGGAGTTCGTGAAATACTGTTGTTTTTAAAAAAAATCCAAAATCAAGGGCTAGATGTGATGTAGCTCAGTGGTAGTGGGTGTGCTCAGCACAGTTTACAAAGACTTGTGTTAGAGCACAAGCACTGGAGACAGAAAACAAGCAAGCAAACCTAAAGTCATGCTCTCTCTAGCACTAGTGACCCCTGTAAGAAAAACACTGTTTCAATAGAAGATAAAACTCACACCTTCCTTGCTGAGTATTTCTAGAGGAAACTAACTCTGTCCACCCCTACACCAGGAATCCATGCCATTTTCAAACAGCACTGAGAATCAGAAAGTCCTTCCTCTTAAGACTCAGGAGAAATTCTGCCTGGGTACTAGGTCTGCCTATTTTCCCTTTACCCTTGACCTATATATGACCTTGAAAAGTCCCGGGTTTTTCCCCATCTCCTCTACAAGTTATACTGACATCAAATATAGTGAAAGCAGGGGTTATACTGTGGGGGAGGGACATACAAAGCTACAAAGAGATAATCTTATAAATGGGTTAGAAACAAATGCATGAAAGGAAAAAAAACATTAAAATACATATCTAAGGGTTCATTTTCCTAACATCACATTATCTGACCTTTTCCGCTTGACTCATACATATACTAGATATTGCAAATAAGGGAAACCATGGGACCTATGTTTCTTTGGGCCTGGCTTACTTCACTTAACTTGTAGAGGAGATGGGGAAAAACAAGTCGTTTAAGGATACAGGTAGACCTGTTGCAACAATGAGAAGTACAAGTTGTCATGTCAAAAACGAGCTTTATAATGTGGTGGGGGGGGGGAAGGTGTGGGGGGGGGAATGGGGGGGAAGGCTGGGAAAGGAATGTGAAGGGTAAACAAAGGAGGAGGCTGCAATGCTTTATAAGAAATGTACGCATTAACCTGCCCCTCTGTACAGTGTGTTCACAAAAAAATAAAAATTAAAAAAAAAAAAAAAAGTCCCAGGTTTTTCCACCCATGTAGTGCCAAGATCCTCCACTGGGGGCAGACTGGAGCCTCAGAGTCCTGGCCTTGCTGGGAGGCCAAGGCACCACAGCTCAGGGGCATGCTCACTCTCCCTTTAGGGTAAGAAGCAGAAGTGTCTGTACCACCTGCTGCAGCCCTACAGGAGGAACCTGGAGGGCTGCCAGAATCTGTGCGCCCTGGTGGTGCAGATCCCCACGTGCTGCAAGGGCTACTACCTGCCAGACTGTCAGGGTGAGGAGGCCTCTTCTGCCTTGTATGGGGCGGGGGGGGGGGGGGGGGGGGGGGGGGGCGTGGCAAGCTACCTGCAACTCTAGAAAGTACCCTAGTTCTGAGGACCTAGGGAGAACACCCACCTGAGGATCCCCAGACTCCAAAATGAAACATGCTGAACAGCTGGCTGCCTGTCTTTCCTTCTGTCTGCTTCATTTGGTCCATTCTGTGTTTCAGTGAGTTGAGATCCTGCTGTTTCAGCTGTTTTGTTTAAAATTAAGCCACAGACATTTCCCATGGTGCTTAACACCATTGAAAATATTTAATATTTTCCAATACATTATATATTATATCATATACCATATCATATTATTATATATTATATCATATATTTTATATAATGATGTTATATATGCTCTGCATTGTATATTCTATAATATATACTTCTTGTATTGTCTATAAGAATAGATGACATATTTTGTATCAACATACATATTTATACACATATGACTGTGCAAGGTTCATGATATTGACAAGCATGCCTGTGTATGTGTATTTGGCATGACTCTACCTTTGAGAGGTGATACACTGGTGCGTGTACACCGCAATTCCTGAAAACCCGGTTGTAAGGTGTATAGCACCGACCTCCCTCCTCTAGAGCACATCACTCGACCTATGCGCACAGTTTCCACATCAACCGTCCACAGCGTGGCAGCCAGCCAGCATGGTACATCCTCGTGCTATATGATTCTAAGCAGCGCATTCTTGGGTGCTGTTCCCCATGGGTAACAGGACACTGGGTCCCAGCCACCACCCCTTGGAAGCAGGTTCAATAGCTAAACCTCAAAATGATGAGGACAAAAGAAGCATAAAGAGGATCAGGAGCAAACTCAAGGCCCCACAGACCTCAGAAGCCATGACACTACCCTGTGTACTCCATTTGCCTTAATCTAGTTAGGACACTCTAGGCCAAGTCCACACACTTCCCCAGCCTCCAACATTAACCTGTACACTGTTTATACAACCCGTATCAGCCCTCCCATTTCTTCAGTACTTTAGATTCTTTTCCATGCTCTTGGTTGCCACACTTCATTTGAGCCTTTCAAAAATGATGTGGTGCCCGGCGCCAGTGGCTCGTGTACGTAATCCTAGTGACACAGGAGGCTGCGGGCTAAGAATCACAGTTTGAAGCCAGCCTGGGCGGGAAAAGTCCATGAGAGGCTTATCTCCAATTAACAACCAGAAGTGGAGCTGTGACTCAAGTGGTAGAGTGCTAGCCTTGAGCAAAAGAGCTCAGGGACAACACCCAGGCCCTGACTTCAAGCCCCAGGATGGGCACTGCCAAAAAGTAAAATAGACATAATATAGGTTAAGCAGGAGCTAGGTATCTTTATCATCACCATCATCATCATCATCATCATCATCATCATTTAAAGCTAAGAAAATAAAGCTTGGAGCAGGTTTTACCATTCAACGCCCAAGTGCTCAAACCTATGTCTCTTAACCCCCAACACAGTGCACAATTCAATCTGTTGCCTAATCAGCATACAGTCCTATACATGGCCTATGCTAGTGCTTTCCCTAAATACCCTCTGCCACCCAGGGCCAGCCAATCGATGTCAGAACCCACACGTTTACTGCAGAGCCGACTGCACTCTCTTCCAGCCCACCCTGTTTCCTCTCTTCCAGCCTGTCCTGGAGGACCAGATTTACCATGCAACAACCAGGGCGTATGCATCAATCCGCTCTCAGCCTCAAGACAGTGTAAATGCAACGAGGGCTTCAACGGGACGGCATGCAACCTGTGCTTGCCAGGGAGATTCGGGCCTCACTGTCAGCGTATGTGGCCCCTCCATGTGCTGATGTGTTTACTGTATGTGTCATGTCCTCATCCACACCATCCATGTGACCCGGAGCATCCTCTGCGCCCTCCCTCCCTCCTCTCGCCTCCCGCCCCTCCCCCCACCGCCCAGCCACCTGCCCTACCAGCCTTCTGCTTGGATTCTGTATCCTTCGTGTCATTTCTCAATGTGCCTCACCTCTCAAGCTCAAACCCTCAGCCTCTGCAGTCATCAAGAAACAGGTTCTAGTCACGGGTGAACAGCTTCCACTCATTCCATCATGCAAGCCACGTGCGTTTTTGTTGAGCAGTTACTAATATTGATAGGTAATATTTATTGTTTCTTATGTTGTGTATCAGGTATAGATATTTTCCCATTTAATCCTCATCACAAACCTTTGGGGTAGAAAGTTGTGTGTGTGTGTGTGTGTGTGTGTGTGTGTGTGTGTGTGTGTGTGTGTGTGTGTGTGTGTGTGTGTGTGTGCACCAGAGTGTGCCAGTACTGGGGTTTGAACTCACTTGGCTTTTTTGCTCAAGGCTGGTACTCTACCACTTGAGCCACACCTCCATTTCCAACATTTTGTTGGCTAATTGGAGATAAGAATCTCACAGATCATTCTTCCCAGGCTGGCTACAATCCAGGATCCTTGGATCTACACCTCCTGAGTGGCTAGGATTATAGGGTATGAGCCACCAGCACCTGGAGCTATTTTTTAAGTAAAAATAGGAAAATATACACCAATTCTGCCACTCATACCGCCTCTGTTATTACCCCCAATTAGCAGGTGAAGAAACCAAGTTCCAAAATATTAATTAAGTGCGTCTCACAATGAAAATTGTTGTACGGTTGAGGGATTCAGTAGCTGAGTGTGTGGGTTAGGGCAAAATCCCAGCTCTCAAATTGCTTAGAGAAACAAGAACCGTAGGCAGATGATAAAGACAAAGAGGCAGTAGAGGGGTCAAGAATAAAACAAGATTGTGCTGTGGAAAATAATAAGTAGAGGTTGCTGGAAATTCATGAATAGACCTATCAAACTTGCAGCCATGATTGATGTCTTCTGTGACACCGCTGTAGCCACTGACCACCTTGGGACTATTAAGCCCTCACAAATATGTCACTAAGAAACTGATACTTTCACTGTACTTACTTTAAACTTAAATATCACATGTAGACCATGCAGATTAGCTTCCTTGGAGGAGAGGTGAGCAAATGCAAAGGCCCTGAGGCAGAATCAGGCCTCGTATGGAGAAATAGCAAGAGGGAATAGAGGACCAAAAAGGGAAATGAAATCTGAGGGTCACCGGGGGTTCCAAGATCACATAGGAACTTTTTGTCAGTACCTATTCTAAGTGAGGCAGGCAGCCAGAGGAAGATGGTGAGCAGATTTACAAAGGATCGTTCTAGCTGTCCTGTGGAGGAGAGCAAAATCAGAAGCAGGACCACCACTGGTAAGCTGGAGCAGCAATCTAGGCTAGAGCTGACGGCACCTTAGGCTGGCACAGCCATCCTAGAGGCAAGGACACATGGCAGAACTGGTACCTACGGGGATTTTTGCTTGTTTTGTCGGTCGTGGGGCTTGAACTCTGGGCTTAGGTGCTGTCCTTCAGCTCTTCAGCTCAAGGCAAGTGCTCTACCACTTGAGCCTCAGCACCACTGCCAGTTTTCTAGTGATTTATTGGAGATAAGAGTCTCAGGGACTTTCCTGCCCTGGCTGGCTTTGAACAACGATATTCAGATCTCAGCCTCCTGAGTAGCTAGGATTACAGGCGTGAGCCATGGGCGCCCAGCTGGTACCTATGTTTTAAATCGAACTTGCAAGACAATTTCTCCATCTCAGGAGGCCCTGGAGAGGTTCCTCCCCCCCCCCCCCCCGCCCCACCTCCCCAACTTCCATTTATCTTTCTAAAACATGCCCCCATGCCACTCTGGGCTTCTGGGGTTATGATCACACATTCAAGAGCTCATTCGTGCCTGTGCACACACCCCTCCATCAACCTGGCCCACAGAGAAGGTATTTGGGGAATGCTTGGGGAAAGGGATGAATGACAGCACAGTCAGGTGGAAGTGAGGGGCGTGGCTGGATGACTCACCAGGCTCTGCTCTGCATTCCAGCCTGTGGCTGCTCAGCCCATGGGCAGTGCGACGAAGGGATCTTGGGCTCGGGGGCGTGCTTCTGCGAAGCCGGATGGACAGGCCACTTCTGCGACGTTCCTGTAGGTGTGTTGGGGGAACAACACCAGGTGATGGTGGATCCCACGGAGGGAGGTTGGGTCTGAGTGGATCCCCAAGGAAACCCAAAGCAGGTGTGTGCTCGATTCCAGGAGGAAGTGATGAGGCTGGAGGATGGGAAGGGGGAAATGCCTGTGCAATCCACACATCTTTCTGTGCCATTCTGGAAGGATCCAGCTCAAAAAAGAGAACCCATATCCTCGTGCAGGGACAGCACAACCCCAGGCGTTGAGTGATGCTGGGGAAAACAGACTCTGGAGCCCCAAGACCTGGTCCCTCATCCTGCTACTCGCTAGATAAACGGCCGCAGACACACCCTCTCTGAGCTTCACCTGGCTCTTCCGTAGAAGGAAGTGTGCACCACACACTTAGCGAGGAAAGCAGAGTTGTGAGCTTGGAGGTCATGGTGCTCTGTATGTCCCTGTCAGTATTGTCAGCATCATAACCCTATTTTTTTTCCTTGTTGTTGGCAGTACTAGGGATCGAACCCAGACCTTTGCACTCATTAGGCACTTACTCTAGTCCCTCAGCCAGGCTCTCGGTCCTTCGGCTTTCGTTTTTGAGATAGAGTCTTGCTAATGTTGCCCCAGCTGGTCTTGAACTTGGGATCACCCTTGCTTCTGCCTCTCCAGTAGCTGGGATTACAGGCATGTACCACCAGACCCAGCTGCCTCATGATTTTGATCATGACTAAGCAGTCCGTTCTCTGAGGCCTTCTTCAAACCTCAAGCCCTGTGTCTGGGAGGTGAAGGTTGAGAAGGTTAATCATTTCCTCCTCCCTGAGGGTCAGAAGGATGTCCATAGGCTCTACTTATGCAAGGACAGCCCAGCGTGACTTTCAACAACCCCAGCAGTAAGGGTTCACTTCTGCCCCTACGTGCCCGTCGGCTTCTTGCCATCTCTGCACACTGCAGCCCTTGTCTGCAGACCCACGCCTCAGACTTCTCCCGAGCTGAGTGATGCCCTCAGAAGGCAGAGGCCTGTCTCCTCCAGTTTAACCATCTCCACTTGCAACCCATGTCCTTTGGACCTGAGAGTTCATCCACCAAGGTCATCCCTGCTAGGCAGTTCAGAGGGGTAAAGCTTGCATTGGTGGCTCCTAAGGTAGCAGATAGGCATTGCAATCGGGACAACCTTGCAGATTTCTCTTCAAGAAAATGATTCTAGAAGCTCCAAATCTCTACTCTCGTGGAGGGGGAGGGGATCCTTAGCAAAGCATCCCCAGGCTTCTGATGAGAGGTCCTTCTGAAGTGCAGCAACAGGCGGCCGGAGAGTTTAAACCACTATCCAGATGAGTCCCCTTGGTGACACTGAGACACGGGGTGAACTGTGACCTCTTCCTCCGTAGTTTCAGCTCCAGTGTGCACGCCTCCTTGTTCTGCTCAGGCCACCTGTATGGAGAACAATACGTGTGAGTGTAACCTGAACTATGAAGGTGACGGGCTCACGTGCACAGGTGGGTCCCCTTTGAGCTTCTGTGGACTAGCAGCATGGAACGGGAACGGAAGGAGGAGCAGGATGTGGTCACAGTGCTGGGTTCCATCCTGGCTCTTCTGCTTCCTGCTTGGGCTCTTTCAACAATGTATACCCTCCCTAAGACTCAGTTTCCCTAGTTGGCTTGCTTGTGCGTGGCCTGCCCATCTTCCAGGCTAGTTTTGCTTTGTTTGGGTAGAACTCAGGTTTAAACTTAGAACTAAGGCTTTCTGGGCAAGTACTTTACCACTTAAGCCAGGCTCTTAGCCCAAAGCCTGTGAAGAGTGGTGGGGAGGGGAAGAAGCGGGGAGGGAGTGTAAGTACTGGGGCTTGAACTCAGAACCTAGGTGTTGTCTCTTAGCTTTTTAGTTCAAGGCCAGTGCTCTACAACACAAATCACAGCTCCACTTCCAACTTTTAGGGGATAAGAGTTTCACAGGCTTTCCTGCCAGGCTGGCTCTGAACTAGGCAACTCAGATCTCAGCCTCCTGAGTAGCTAGGATTACAGACATGAGCCACCAGCACCAGGCCTGAAGGCTGAGGATTCGCTCAGTAGAATAGTGCTTGTCTAATATGCTTTGCAAAACAGAATGCCATTTAATTCAGAGTTTTTCTACCTCAACAAGTAACTCAGTCTTTATAACACTCAGAAAATGGACTACAGTAATAAGAAAAATAGTTAAACCTACACATAGTTGGCTCTCAGTAGAACCACTGTGAATACCACATCTGCAGTAGTTAGGATGTGGGCTCAGCCCCACTGAGAAGCACAAACACAAGGTATATACTTATTCTGCCTCATATTATTCAGTTTAGAGAGAAATCTTCAGGACTAACACAGCTTCACTCTGAAAGATTATCTGGGGCCCCCATTTCTCCTATCTTTCTGCTGTCACTGCTCACTGGAGTGGTGAAGATAGCTCCCATCATAGCAAAACCCAAGCAGCAGATGGAGGGAGAAAAAGGAGACAAACCTCATCCCTTTAAGAACACACTCTACTGCCAGGCATCGGTGGCTCATGCGTGTAATCCTAGCGACTAAGGAGGCTGAGATTTGAGGATCGGAGTTCAAAGCCAGCCCAGGCAGGAAAGTCCAGGAGACTCTTATCTCCAGTTAACCACCAGAAAGCAGGTAGTGGTACTGTGGCTCAAGTGGTAAAGCACTAGCCTTGAGCTAAAGACCTGAGAGACAGCGCCCAGGCCCAGAGTTCAAGCCCCATGACCAAAAAAAAAAAAAAAGAACACAATCTAATTGGTGCTAAATATCAGGTCTGCTCCCATCCTACTGGCTGGCACTCATCAGCCACACCAAGCTACAGGGAGATAGGGAAGGTAGCCTTTTATTGGGCAGCCTACAACAGAAGCACATGTCTTAGCCACATGTTCTTTGCAGTAATTTCTATGAGATCTAGACTATCTTTATGAACATTAGATCTTTATTCCCACTGTTCTGCTACAAGGCACACACACACACACACACACACACAGGAGTTTGTGCTAACCTTAGCAGCTCAAACAGCCAGGTGCTGGTAGCTCACGCCTATAATCCTAGTTACTCAGGAGGCTAAGATCTGAGGATTGCAATTTGAAGCCAGCCCAGGCAAGAAAGTCTTTGAGACTCTTCTCTCTAATAAACTACCAAAACAAAACAAAACAAAAAAGCCAGAAGTAAAGGTCTGGCTTAAGTGGTAGAGCACTAACCTTGAGCAAAAGCAGCTCAGGGACAACACCCAAGTCCTGAGTTTAAACCCCAGAACTGGCATGCATGCATGTGCACATGCGCGCGCGCGCGCGCGCGCGCACACACACACACACACACACACACACACACTCATTCTGAAACATAGCACCAAAGTAAACCTAGAGGTAGGTGACACAGAAGGATGGAGGTAGACAGAGAGGGCCTGGTCTAGGAGGGTGTCACAAAGGCTTTGCACACAGGACCTGGGGAACACACGTGTGAGGACATGGAACCCTCAACACAACAGTGCAGGGTAGACTGAGGTCCCTGCTCTCCAGCCCCATTGCACAGACCCAGGCACACAGACCCTCGCTCGCCTTTCTTGCAGCGGTGGACTTCTGCAAACAGAACAACGGGGGCTGTGCAAAGGTCGCCAAGTGCTCCCAGAAGAACACCACGGTCTCCTGCAGCTGCCCCACGGGCTTCCGGGGAGATGGCTACACCTGCATAGAGATCGATTCCTGTGCGGACGGCCTCAATGGGGGATGTCACGAGCATGCCATCTGCACTATGATCGGCCGGGTGAGTCGCAGCTCCCCAGGGACACTTGGACAGCACAGCCCCACCTTGTGCCTGGCTCGGCCTTGCTTCTGCACCCGAGTGGCCTCAGCTTACCCTTTGGTCTGTCCAATGCTGTCTCCCACCCCCACACCCGCTTCCATCTGTTTCTTGTTTAAAATCAGTCATCTAACTGCAATGTAGTATAGTGGGGCAATGGGTAAGACCCCTATCAATTCTATTATCCAGTTAGGAATATACCAACATAAATTTCTTAGTTTTTGACAGATTACTCCCTAGATATTACCACTAGGGAGTTTATAGATGGTAACTCTACCTGTCCACCTTTCCTATAAATCTAAAATTCTTAGGGAAAAAAACCCCACAAGATTCCATTTCCAAAATAACCAGCAAAAAAACCAGAAAGCACTATCTGAGCAAGCAAGTTGAGCAAACATGATGCCCTGAATTCAAACACTGGTATAAACAATAAAAGAAAAAGAAAAAAATCACTGAAAATCTGAAGTTCATTAAAATAAAAAAATAGATGAGGCATAAAAGGTGGCACTCTGCATTTTTTTTTTACCAGTTCTGGACTTGAACTCAGGGCTGGGCACTGTCCCTGAGCTTCTTTTGCTCAAAACTAGCACTCGACCACTTGAGCCACAGCATAACTTCCGGCTTTTTCAGTTTGTGTGGTACTGAGGAATCGAACCCAGGGCTTTATGCATGCTAGGCAAGCACTCTACCACTAAGCCACATTCCCAGCCCATACTCTGCATTTTTCTAGAAGAAGATCAGGTCCCTATTTCCCTGATGGGAAGAGCAGGTAGTAGAAGACAGTATTTGTTATTGTGCAAACAAGGACCTAGAGTTAGGCTGCCTTTGAGACTGAGCTTTTGAACTTAGGGACTGTTTGGCCTGGGCTTGGCTACTTAATGTCTCTGAGCCTCAGTGTCTTTATTTGTAAAGTGGGCCTAGTAATAATGCAGATATCACAGGGTCATTGTGGGGGGTTAAATGGGGTCATTCATTGACCCAACCAGTGGTGGAGGAACACTTGTCAGTTGCAGTTGCTGTTGCAGTTGCCAGCAATTCTGCAATGAGAAGACAAACAGACATGGGTGAGTAGAGAGAAAGGGTGGTGCCCAATACAGAATCAGGAGGACTGAAGAACTGTGGAGAGCAGAGACCTTGGGAGCTCGTGTGGGTGGGGCTCAGGGAGAGGCCCTCTGAGGAGAACAACTCGAGTGCTGAGATAAAAGGATTCCCCTAGTCCGGTGCTGGTGGCACGTGCTTATAATCCTACCTACCCAGGACGCTGAGATCTCAGGAATGCAGTTTAAAGATAGCCTGGGCAGGAAAGTCCATAAGACTCTTATCTCCAATTAACCACCAGGTGGAGCTGTGGTTCAAAGTGGTAGAACGCTAGTCTTGAACAAAAAAACAGCCCAGGGACAGCGCTCAGGGTCCAAGTTCAAGCCCCAGGAACAAAAAGGAAAAATGGATGCCCATGTTTCATAATCACCCTGTGCAAAAGCAAGACAAGGATGTCATTGCATTCCCATTGAGCAGACAGGGGTGCTTTGCTTGGTCCTTCAAAACCCCTCCCATGCTGAGTGGACATCTTCCTAGCACTCAGGATCATGGAGAAGGTTTTTCCATCTTTCCCCCCACCTTCTTCCCACAGGGCAGGCACAAGTGTCGATGTAAGGACCACTACGTGGGAGACGGGCTGAACTGTGAGCCAGAGCAATTGCCCCTGGACCGCTGCTTACAGGACAATGGGCAGTGCCACGCAGATGCCCACTGTGCCGACCTCCACTTCCAGGGTCAGTGTGGCTGGGACAAAGCACCTTTCTTGGGGAAAGGGCCTGTGCAAGAAGAGAGAGCAAGACAAAACAACACTGAGCCCAGGAGTCTCTGCATTGCCCAGACCAAGGGAGGGAGCTGAGAGGCACAGGCAACTCCCAATCGGTCCTTGAGCTGTTTGGAGTTCAGAGGGTGTCTGTCATGAGTTTGCTCCCTGCTTGTTTTACTCCTATTGCTTAGCAACCAGCCTTACTGCTATTGGCTGGAAATTCATGTAAATCCAGGAAGCACAGCTCTGGCTATTTCAGAGTCACTGCAGAAGCAATTTCTTAACCATTGTCAGGATGGTTATGTATTGATTGGCATATGTCCACATCTTCCCAAGGATGGTATGGATGGCTTATAATAAACAAACACAAGAAAGGCACAAGGCCTCACATGGAAATGCAGAGGCCCAGGAGACAGATGAAAGAAAGCTTTAAGGGATCCAGAGCCAGACCCAACATAAACTTCAGAATCTTTGAAAGCATCTTAGGGCACTGCCCTGTGTGGCCAGCCAGTATTTGTAGGGATCTCTGAGTGGACTTGGCCTTGTTCTTTAGGTATGGTCATATCTCAATAACAACTAATGACTTAACTCTGTGACACATCTCAAACCCTTTCAGGATGAACTAGAGGAAGTATACCGAGAAAACATACAGATAGCATGAAAGACATCCTTCCAGAGTCCCTGGGTAGTTAAGAGACTTTTTTAAAAGACAAAGAGAGAAAAAAGCTGTAACACAGAAGTCAGAAATGTGTTGCGTGCTCTTGGCAGTTGAAATGAAAAGGCAAGAATAGTCAGAGAATTCACAAAAGGAACTCAGATATGTGTGAACTTGCATTCACACCAGATTTATTCACAATAGCAAAAAGATAAAAACAACCCAGGGCCTCTCTGTGGATAAACAAAATTCAGTACATCCACACAATGGAATATTATTCAGCCTTGAGAGGATATGAAATTCACACTGCAGCATGGTTCACCCTTGCAAACAATGTACTAAGAGAAATGAACCAGACACTACATGGCTCAGCATGCAATGGAATAGACAGGGACAGAAAATGGAGTAGAAGGACAGGGGACAGAGGGAGGTTGGGAAAGTATTGTCTAATGGGCACAGAGTTTCCGTTTGGGATGATGGTGATGTACTAGAAATGGGCAGTGTAGTGGCTATCCAACTGTGTACATATGTACTTGGCTAGCCACTAGTGGTGGCTCACACCTGTAATCCTAGCTACTGAAGAGGCTAAGATCTGAGGGTTGTGGTTCGAAGCTAGCCAGGACAGAAGAGTTGGGAAGACTTTTGTCACCAATTAACAAGCAGGAAAATAAAAAAAGCAGGAATTAGGAACGATTAAGAGACAATTCAGGAAGAAGGTTAGACATTTATGTTAATGAAGGAGTGGGATGAAAGAAGCAGTGTAAGGAGAGAAATCAACAAGCATAATAAATCTAATCAAGTATTCATTATGTAAAACACTAATGAACATTCCCAGGGATAAAATGTTAGCAAGTAAGATATTAAAAAGTGATATCTAATGTAAACAAAAAAGCAGAAATTGGAAGTATGGCTCAAGTGGGGCAAGCCTTGAGCAGAATAATCTGAAGGAGGGGCTGGGAAGGTGGCTCAGTGGTAGAGCGCTTGCGTGCCTGAGGCCCTGGGTTCGATTCCTCAGCACCACATAAGCAAAAAGAAAAAGCCGGAAGTGAGCCTGTGGCTCAAGTGGTAGAGCACTAGCCTTGAGCTGAAGAGCTGAGGGACAGCGCCCAGACCCAGAGTTCAGGCCTCACGACCGGACCCCCCCCCAAAAAAAAAGAATAATCTGAAGGATAACACCTGGCCTTGAGTTCATGCTCCAGCGCGCGCACACACACACACGCACACACACACACACACACACACACACACACACACACACACAGAGTTATACACTTAAAATGATGACATACTTTGTCATGACAATTTTTTTTTTAAAAAAATCTGAAAAGGAAAAGTCTCAAGGCAAGAAAAGGAAGTCCAGAAGGCATTAAATAGAGGCCAGGGGCTACAGTAGAGACCTTATAGATGCTTAAACTGGGCCAAACAGAGTTGCTGAGGGAAGGATGAGATGGTGGGAAGAGGCAGGGCGTGGTATCAAGGCTGTGACCACATGGTATGGGGTTCTGTACTGAGCAGGGGATGGAGATGGGGGAGGAAAAAAAACGACAATGGACAGAAGCCTAAACAAAAGGAAAGGCTCCCCTCCCCCATCAGCCAAGGTTTCCATCCTGAAAGAGCCAACACACCAGTGCTGCTGGGCCAGAATGATTGGACAAGACAGCCTGATTAGGGACATGTTACATCCACATTAACGGCAGAACTTCCAGGTAGAGAGATTTTATAGGCAGCTACTGCGGGGGGGGGGGGGGGGGTGCACAGAAGTGAGCACCTTGGATCAGGTGATTAGGAGTGTGAAGTCATCTAGTCAGTTCATCTGGTCAGTCCAGCCTGTTCTCATAGCTCATTCACCGGAGGAAATCCACACAGCTGGTAGAGCATTCACTGGCCGGATTCCTCTATGAATCTTGAAATCCTTTGTTTGGAAGCACTGCCAACTATGTGAGCTAATATAGGTGATTCCTCTCCCTCCTCTCCAGACACCACTGTTGGGGTGTTCCATCTCCGGTCCCCACTGGGCCAATACAAGTTGACCTTTGACAAGGCTAAAGAGGCCTGTGCCAATGAAGCTGCAGCCCTGGCCACCTACGCCCAGCTCTCCTATGCCCAGAAGGTGAGTCCCTGGAGGGAGCCTCTTCTTAAGATGGGGGGAGAAAGCTTTCTGCCTTCCCAGAGTTAATCCAGGAAGCTCATGGAGCAATAATAATTCACCATGTTCAGTGCCAGGCTTTTGCTGTGTAGCAGGCACTGGGTAAGGTGCTTCATTGACATGACTACCCATCCTCATGACAGCCCTGTAGGTAAGACTCACTGCCCTCATTTGCCAGACAGAGCAAATAAGAATTTCTAAGGTTAAATAAAATAGCCAGTGTCACTCAGCTAAGAGGTGACCGATCTAATTTTCACATAAAGCTCTGATTTCAAAAGTCTATTCTCAACCTTAAGAATCCACCTGTCAAAGCAGAGACAGAGACAGGAAGCACATAACTCATGCTGGAGAAATGGCACCATCAATAACCAAATGCCCAGGAGGACCTCCCAGAACCCACAAAGCAGTTGAGGGTCTTTGGAATTCTCAAAACCTTGGGGCTACTCGGGTGATGAAGGGAACACATGAAGCCAGCGCAGGCTTCCTCCCCTAGCAGGGAGGAATTGAGGAGCTCTGGTCAGGGATGCACTCCTAGCCTCTGAAACCAGAAAACCTCTCCAGGTCTGATTTGGGGGTACTCTCTCTACCACCGCCAAACCTCTCTGTTTCAGACCTCAAATTCTTGACCAAAGAACAAATCCTTCTGTGTAAGGACTGAGAGGCTTAGAGGTTCTGAACCTCTGCTCTCCTCCTTGCTTTGAACAAGCCATTGAAATCTGTCCTTCCTGACCTGTTTGTCCAAGGAGCAAAGATCACACGGCCCAAAATGTGAGCAGGAACTCACTAATCAAGTTTTATTAAGATAACTGATCTGGAATAAGCTGGCTTGGTTTGAATCTGCTACTTGCTGACCTGCATTTTTTTTTAACAAGTTGCTTACCTGCTCTTTGTCTCAATTACTTCAGTTATCTCAATTATATGATAAGAATTTCCAACCTCAAAAAAAAAAAAAAGAATTTCCAACTTCATAGAGTCGATGTGATGGTAAAACATATTGACACAGAAAAAGCCCTTGCAAGAGACCCTGGATCCAAATACACTACTAAAGGTCAGGATGACCGTGGTGGTGGTAACAGTGGTAATGGTAATGATGATGGTAATGGTGACAATGATGTTCATGGAAAAAAAAAATGGCAACAATGATACATTAGAGTTCTAGCACCAATTGAAGTTTTGTTATCTCATGAGCAAAAGAGTTTGTCCTAGAGGTTTATAAATAAGTGACTAATAACCAATCTCTCTCAAGAGCCCAGAGGAGAGCATATGAAGGACTTGGATACCTACAAGAAACAAAAGGCTCTGTAGTTATGCATTCCATGGTGCCATTTAAAAAAATAGTGTGACCACCTAATGTGTTCTAGGCACAGGAGGACAACAGGCAAAATGGGACTTGGCTCTTTGGAGCTTCCGGTTAGATTGGAGAATGAGGAACTAGCCCAGTGATTCCACAGCAAACATGAACGTTCAGCTCATCTGTATTTGTTCTGTGTCCCTTGCAGGCCAGCTATCACCTCTGTTCAGCTGGCTGGCTAGACAGTGGGTGGGTGGCCTATCCCACGGCCTATGCCTCCAAGAAATGCGGCTCTGGTTTTGTTGGGATAGTGGATTACGGTCCCAGGGTGAACAAGAGTGAAATGTGGGATGTCTTCTGCTATCGGATGAAAGGTAACCACCCCGGGGCTACACTTCAGGCTGAAGGCCATGCAGGGGCTGAGCCATCCTCAGCCTGGCCAGCCAATGGGTGAGCAGAGTGGCCCAGGCCCCTGACTCACTAAGGTGGGAGCTTATGTGCCTCTGTTTCCCAGATGTCAACTGCACCTGCAAGGAGGGCTATGTGGGAGATGGCTTCTCCTGCAGTGGGAACCTACTGCAGGTCCTGATGACCTTCCCCTCGCTCACGAACTTCCTGACGGTATGATCACATCTCTTGCTTCAGTATTGAGCCTAGAGGGTTGGTTCTGAACTGCTGTTAAAGGGGTGTTAAAGGAAGCCAGAGTCTCACAGCTCACCTCGTTTGAATCTGAGCCCTGGCTTTGCCATTCATCTGTTGCCCAACTTTAAGCAGAGGGCTTCCTCCCTGAACCTGTTTTCTCATCTGTAAAATAACAGCACTAGCCACATAGGGTTATTGTGATTTTTTGAGTTGACCTGTATGAAGCAGTTAGACCATGTGGTCCACATACAGAAAATTCTGCAATGATATTGGCTGGTCTTGTGACTTGGGCTTGCAGCTAGAGTCTCTAGCCTGGCTGTGAATCTTCTGTTTTCATGGGCAGGGTAGACATGGTTAGCTAGGTCTACCTGGTGATAACCCAGACAGTCAAAGTAACATAGAGACAGCCAGCCTTTTGTACCACCCTGAAGCACATCAATAATCTCCAAGTTATGTCCCATGAAGAGAAAGCTCCATGTAACTAATCACAGAAACAAACAAATAATAATTAATGACAGCTAACATTTCCTGAGCTTTACACCTTGCCCTGGGCTCTGTGCTGAGCCCTTTCAAGGCCATTTCCTTTGGGCAATGGACTATAAAAGCTCCATAAGAAATTTCCCTGCTTTCACCGCCACTGTTTCTCCAACATCTCAGACAGAACACTGCACTAATAGCTACCCAACAAATACTTTGCTAGAAGTATGCAAATTTATATGGTAACTTCTATCATTCCCAGTATTTTAGATGAAGAAACTGAGGCTTAGAAAGGTCACGGATGAAAAAAAAAAAAAAAAGAAAGGTCACGGATGCAGCCTAACATCCCAGATGGGGCTCAAATCCAAACCTACCTGGTGCCAGCCTCCTTGTCATCTTTTAGGGGGAGGAACGGAGGCAGCCAGTGACTGAGCCACTGTCCCTAGCAGAATGGCCAGTGATCCCAGGAGAAGAGGATGCTGGTCATCAGAGCAGGGCTGGCAGGACCAGGGCAGAAGGGGCACCAAGGACTCCAAAGTACAAACCCCTTTTTCTACAAAGGAGAGGCAGCCACCTAACTCGTGTAAAAATCCCAAGTCTCCATGAATATACCAAAGATAAACGCTAAAACCAACATGTCTGCTGCTTGGCTTATGACAGCATTTCAGAGCGAAGGCAGTATTAGAACACAATTCCAGTAAATTGCTTACCTTCTAGAACTGGGCCTCGGTGGCCCTGTCTGTGCAAGGAAAGAGTAGAACTTCAAACGTGTTCACTAACTGTTTATCAAGTACTTACAAGGTGATGAGGTCTATCAGGGAACAAAACAGATCATAAACAGAACAAACAAATACATGCTAGAGTGGAAAAAGAGGACTGCGGGAAAAATGGCGATGGGGCAGTAGGGAAACGCCACAGCTCTCTCCAACCAAAAAGAGAGTTCGAGTTCCAACGTTTAATCTCCCCAAGAGACCGACAACAACAAAAAGACGAACACTCAGAGAAAAACCAGAGGTGGAAAATAACAAAAAAAGAAAGAGAGGAAAAGAAGAATTTCAGAACAGAGAAGAGCGAAGACCCCTCCCCCAACCTTTACTGGCCGCGCGGCAGTGCGCCAAGCCGCCGGCCAGCCGGCCCGGCGGGGGCTGCCGGAGCCACAGAGACACAGGGGGCTGCTTGCAGATCACCAGGTACCGGATTGCAGAACAGCGGATCGCCAGGAACAGAGAAACCTACCAGCCGGGAGTCTCCACGAGGATCCCACCCCCACCCCTCACTCTCCACCGGAGCGGAGAGGCTCCATCCCGCCAAAGCCGCCCAGCACCAGCAGCGCGACAAAGGGACCTGTCCGCAGACCACCCGCCCAATCGCGATCGCAACTACCCGGCGGGGGGCCGCCCAACCCAGCCCGCAACCACCCCGACTGAACTCGGACTGCAACAACAACTGACGACCTACAGGGTGAGTACCCATCAGGGGACAGGGAATCCATCAAGGGAGACCAGAGCTGGAGGGAATCCCCAGACCCTGACCTAGACTCCCTACCCCAACACCCGGACCACAGGACCCACTAAAACTGGGAACTGTTCGAGAGCTCCACCAGCCGGTGGAGCACACTCTGCTGGCCAGGCCAGAGCAAGAGCACCCCTGGAAGGGAGCTTAAATGCTCAAGCCAGGAACAGCGCCCCTGGGTCAAGACTACCAACAGTAGAAGAAATTTGAACTGTGTCCTCCAGGCTGCATAACCTAGGTGGTATACACATTAGCACAGGCCTAACGAGCACGCTCCAGGCTGGGGCCGGAACCAGGCCAGGGGACCGGCGCCTGAACAAAGCAAAAAGGGTCAGAAGTGGGGCTGTGGCTCAAATGGTAGGGTGCCAGCCCTGAGCTGAAGAGCTGAGGGACAGCACCCAAACCTAGAGTTCAAGCCCACAACCAGCCCAAAACAAACAAACAAAAACACATCAGGAGCCCATAGCAGACTCCAGTATTTGGGAGAGTGCATCCAGAGCATCTGATCTTCCCAAGAGCACCCGCAGGAGCAAACACAAGCAGTCTAGGCTGCTCAACCCTTCCAAAGGCGGGAATTGCTACAGCAGAGAGCTGAGAATCCTAAGTAAGTCAGAATAGCAGCTGGAAATAGGCTCCCAACAGAATCCAGATCAGGCACAGACTCTCTCTACCAATACAGAATCAGCAACCAAGCAAAGACAGACACACCAAAACAAGATTGAAGAGCAGTCTCCTGAACCCCCATGCGAAAATCACAGAGAAAAATCACAAGGTTTACCACTACCCAGGACAGCAAGCTCACCTCAAAAGCCAGCAGTCACGCAGGGGAGAGCCCCAGTGGGAGCAAAGCAGGAATGGAAGACAAAAACTACATCCAAGGGTTTCTGGAGGCAATGACTCAAGAAATAAAGCGAGAAATGGATCAGAAATTGAAAGAGCACAAGGATGAACTATCAAAAGATATACAGGATATCAAACAAAAATTGGATGCAAAAATAGAAGCTGCACAAACCTCAGTAAGAAGTGAGATAAACGCCAAATTAGAGGTAATGCATACTGATCTCACCTCATTGAGAGGTGAGATCAGTACTCTGAGAACCAACATTGAATCCATAAAGGGATCCATTTCCTCCATGCAAACCACAATAGAAGCCACGGTCAACAGAGTGAATGAAATGGAAGGTAGAGTGTCAGATACAGAAGACAGAATACACCAACTGGACCAAAAAGTGACAGATATGGAAAAATCACTCAAATTAAACCAAAGGGAAATTCAAGAGCAAGCAGATAATGCTAAAAAATTTAACCTTCGCATAATCGGAGTGGACAAAGGTGAGGAATTCCAGAGCAAGGGAATGCAACACCTATTTAACAAGATAGTCAATGAAAATTTTCCCCACCTCAAAAACGACCATCTTAACTACATCACAAAAGCTTATCGAACACCCAACAAGCAAGATCCCAGGAGAAACACTTCTAGGCACATCATAGTAAAAATGATGGATCTGAATAATAAGGAAACAATCCTGCATGCAGCAAAAATGAAGAAGGAGCTATACTACAACGGGAAAAAAATTAGAATCACTGCAGATCTCTCCACACAAACAATGAATGCAAGAAAAGCCTGGGAAAGCACCATACGAGCCCTGAGAGCCAATAACTGCCAACCCAGACTGATATACCTGGCAAAGCTAGCATTCACATTCGATGGAGAACTGAAAACTTTTAATAGCACTGAAAACTTTTAATAGCAAAGAAAAACTAAATGAATACATAAACATTAAGCCAGCATTACAAAGAATTCTAAGAGGGGGGACACAACCTGAAGAAAGCAACCAGGAACTGGGACCTGCCCCAAACAGGCATTACTCAAAGTCTAACTGAGCAAGCACAGGAGGAAAGGAAAGAAGAAAAACTTAGGAAAACGGAATGGCAGGGACAACAATGCATCTCTCTATACTTTCTCTTAATATAAATGGGCTGAATTCGCCAATTAAAAGAAAACGAACTGAGGACTGGATCAGAAAACAAGACCCATCCATCTGTTGCCTTCAGGAGACCCACCTCTCAGCCAAACATACAAACAAACTCAGAGTGAAGGGGTGGAAAAGGATCTACCAATCAAATTCCCCCAATAAGAAAGCAGGTGTAGCTATCCTGATATCTGACAAAATAAACTTTTCATTAAAATCAGTACAGAAAGACAAGGACGGACACTACATATTAATAAAGGGAACAATCCAAGAGGAGGATATAACCATCATCAACTTATATGCCCCAAATATCGGTGCACCCAGATATGTTAAACAAATGCTCTCAAACTTACAGAATAAAATAGATCCCAATACAATAATACTAGGAGACTTTAACACGCCACTCTCACCAAAGGACAGGTCTACCAACCAGAGGATTGGCAAAGAAGCTACCGAATTAAGTGAGGCCATACTTCAAGCGGAATTAACTGACATCTACCGAGTATTTCACCCTAAAACAACACAGTACACATTCTTCTCAGCAGCTCATGGAACTTTCTCCAAAATAGACCATATCATAGTTCATTCAAGGAACTTAAGCAAATACAAAGGGATCGACATAATCCCCTGTATCCTATCTGACCACAGTGGAATCAAGCTAGCTCTCAATAACAAAGCATACCGCAGAAATTTCTCTAATACATGGAAATTGAACAGCACACTCCTTAACAAGGCCTGGGTAACAGAAGAGATCAGAGAAGAAATAAAGCATTTCCTACAACTCAATGAAAATGAAAACACCTCACAAAGAAACTTGTGGGACACAGCAAAAGCAGTCCTGAGGGGCAAATTTATTGCCCTCAGTGCCCACATCAAGAGAATGGAGACAGACCAAGTAAATAATCTCATGTTGCAACTAAAACAGCTAGAAAAACAAGAAAAAATGGGACCTAAAGCTACTAGACGAAGCCAGATAACCAAATTGAGAGCAGAGATTAACCAATTAGAAAATCAGAAAACCATAACCAAAATAGAGTGGAAAAAGAACATGTCAAGCTGGAAGTGGAGAGAAACAAACAAATCCATCAAGCTGAGAATGGTCTAGGACCATAGGATTCTTCAAGGAAAGGAAAAGGCCTCCTAAAACTCTCCCAAGAGACAGCAAGAAGAAACAGCAAAGACTTGAGGCTAAAATCACAAATCCCCATGAGCCTTTCCAGACACCTGTCACGAGTAAGCTATGTGAGAAATATAAGCAAACATGTTTGCATCTTCTCACAATGCCAGCATGTGTTGAATAACAAGAAATTCACAGGTGAGGTCAGTTTTGCTGGCTTCATTTTGCCAAGTTCTACTGTTTTCACCTGGTATTCGGGCCATTGGCAAACACGGTTTCTTCTATTTCAAGTTAAGCACTGATATTGACTCTCAGACCACATGTTCTACTTTACACAAATGCCTAGGAAAGGGTTGGAGCAGTTGCAGGGTTTATAAGTGTCTTTTAAATGGCAAGAGCTGAGAGCGGATACAGATGGAACATAATGAAGCCAACTGCAGAGCTGATCTGACACTAGCTGCCACAGCACAGAGCTGCTTCCAGACACGATGCCAGTTCTAGGTGCAGAACTGGTTCTAGTGGGTCTTGTTAAGCAGGGGTGAAAGGGGAGGGACAGAGCATGCTGAGCTGAAACCCCAAGAACAGAGTTGGGATTCAAACCCATGATCTGATGGCAGTTCCTAGATTTACTGTAAGCCAGTGTTAGGTACTCTAGGAGTGTGCCTTAGGAGTGTTAGAACCTTTAAGATGATGCGGGTGAGAAGGTTGGTCAGGTGTATTTCATAACCTCACCAACTGATTTTCCTGATAATGAGTTTGATATGCCCAGGTAGTGATGTGCTGTTCATAGGTAGTAATGTTCTATTTGCATAAATAAGTCCCTTACGGTTCATACTGGACAGATGGCAGCTGTTTACTTGTACAAACAAGACATAGAGTCATTCTGCTTCCGCCATTATACTCAAAATGAAGCAAACTGCTGTTTCCTAAAGCCAAGTCACTGAGCTCAAGGCACAGCCTGAAAATGATTGATCTCTATAATGTGAGGGCACTGCCTAATTTCTACTCTACCCCAGTTCACACACTAGGGCTGGTCTCGCTGACAGCTTCCTTCTTCTCTCCAGAAAGTGCTGGCTTATTCCAACAGCTCAGCCAAAGGCCAGGCATTTCTGAAACACCTGACAGACCTATCCATCCATGGGACCCTCTTTGTGCCACAAAACAGCGGGCTGCAGGAAAATGAGGTGAGTCAAGTCCACCAGTGTCCACACTTCACGCTGGAATGAGTTCCCCAGCACCACCACCATGCTGCGTCACCAATGACCCTGAACACAGTGGCCACACAATTTCGTTGTTCATATATCGGCCAACCCACTGCTACTTCCGGTCTAGGCACGTTCCAATCTGAGACCAGCCTTGGAGTCTTGGCGGGTCAGCGCCACGGGGCTCTTAGGCCCCAGCAGGCTAGCGCAGGCACGTTCTCATGAAGATGGCCAGGAGCAAGAGTGGCAAATGCAAACTCAAATCTCACTCGTGCTTTTCAAACCTCTGGTCATGTTTGCTAACACGCCACTGGCCAACAAACAGGTCGCATGACTAAGTCAGAGTGAGAGTAGGGTGCATACCTGCCAGGGAGGTGGGACAAGAGGAGAGGGGCAGAAGAATGAGAGGGGGAAATGACTAGAAGGCACACGAGAATGCACGGTATACGCCACAGAACTGGGAAGAGTAAGGGCAAAGGGGGTGGGGGATGGAGATGTTGAAGGGATGGCACAGATCAAGATGCACTGTATACATAAATAGCTTTGTTACATGACTAACACTGAACACAGAACCTACAAATTAAGAAAAGGGAGGGAGGGGGATGGCGTTGGGAGGGGTGGGTGAGAATGTTGAAAGGGGTGACATTGATCAAGAGGCATTGTAGTCAGACACTGCTCTGTTGAGTGACAACTCCTCTGTACAATTACTCAAAGAAAAATTTTAAATATATATATATTTTTTAAATGTAAGAGTAGGAAGCAGAGTTACGTGGGCAGAGAGAATGAAAGGGTAAAGAACAGGGGTCACTGATACTGTCAGTCCACTGACATCAACCTTGAGGTGGCAGACAGAACAGGATTTATTCCAACTTCCCAGGCCCTAGCCAGCTATCTGAGTGTCTGTCTGCCTGGTACTCAGCCCAGACCTACTCTTCCTAGGGAAGCACCAAAAAGCTTTGCTTTAGACAATACAGATGACATTCAGCCCCACATCCTAGCTATAGGGGAGCTTTTGCAAGGCCTAACAATGCCCAAGAAAAATTTGGTATTTTCCTTGGTATTTTTCAGCCTCAGAACACACACACCAAACATTCTTATGTTTCTCCTCTCCTCTCAGACGCTGTCTGGGCGGGACATTGAGCACCACCTGGCCAATGTCAACATCACGTTCTACAATGACCTTGTCAATGGTACCATCCTGCAGACAAGGCTGGGAAGCCAGCTACTCGTCACTACCAGCCAGGACCAGCTCCAACAGGTAGGAAATCTTGGCTATCATAAGCAAGCTATGTCAGAGACAGACCCTTTTGTGTCTTTCCACGTATATTGGCTAACAATAAATTCACCAGCTATGTCAAATTCAAATTCATTGGCTTCAATTGACCAAAGTACTACTGACTTCGCTTGGTATTTGTGGCCACTGGTAAACACAGGCTCTTCTATTTGCATTTTAATTTGCAATATGAACTATCAGATCACACATCCTGTTTCACATAATCATACATAAGGTGACAGAAAGACTCTCCTGTCCAGGCTAGCGTGCTAGGGCAGCCCTGTGCAGGTCTAACCTACAGTCACTCATGACTGGTCTTAGAGCATGCCAACATCAGATGTAACAGGTGGTTATTGCATATGTCATCTCTGTTTTGCCACTGTTTTGGAGTAATTTGTAACACAGCACTGTTGCAGAGACAGATTTTTGTGTGTATGCGCTGTTACTGGGGCTTGAACACTGGGCATGGGTACTGTCTTAGCATTATCATTCAAGGATGGCACTCTACCATTTGAGCCACACCTCTACTTCCTTTTTTTTTTCTTGATGGTAAGTAATTGAAAATGACAGTTGCATGGACTTGCCTGTCAGAGCTGGCTTTAAATTGTAAAATCCTCCAATCTCAGGCTCCTGGGTTGCTAGGATTACAAAGGGAAGCCACCAGCCCCTTGCTTCAGATACTTTATTCTAGTCTGAAGTGTAGATACCAGCAACTGAATCATAAAGAGTTAAAGCAGTTGTGGGGTTCTAAGGGGCCTTATTGAAGGCAAGAGTACAGAATGCTGATACCGATGCAAAGCCACTGCAGGTGGCTACATACCAACATAATGAACCGGGTCACAGAGCCACCCTGGCACGAGACTACTAAAGTGCAGAGCTGGTTCTAGGCACAAACCTAGTTCCAAATGGCCATTCGAGTGGGCTGTATCCATCAGGGGGATCAAGTTGAGCTGCAGCCCTAGGAACGCAGCTGGGAATTTGTCACCTGCTGATCCTGTGCTGCGTGTACTGGGCGATCCCATGACGGGCCGTGGATGCCTTTCTATCCCTGCTAGGTGCTGCTCTGGGTGAGCTTTCCATAGGCAGTAATATCTTATTTGCATAAATAAGTCATTTACCAGTCCGAGCCGCACGGGTTGTACTGGACAGATGGTGGGTGTTTATTTGCATAAATAAGATGTAAAGACATTCTACCTTAGCAGTTGCATTCAAAATGAAGCAAACTGCTGTTTTGTAAAGTAGAGTCACTGAGTCCAAGGCAGAAGCTGAAAGCTCTTCTACATAATATGGAGTAATTTATCAGGGAACAACCCACCACATGGCCAGCCCTCCACATGGCTTATTGGGAAAACAGCCTGAATACAACCAAAGGCCCTGGCATGCAATTGGTGCCTAATGGAAGGCAACTATTATATACGAGTACACTCTATTATCCTGCCCATGTAACTGTAACCCCTCTGTACAGTATGTTCTCAAATAAAATAAAATAAAATTAAAAAAAAAGAGTACACTCTAGATCCATAGGTAGGAGATGGTACTGATACATACCATAAAGGCAAACAGCCCCTACACCTTGGCAAGGAGCCCAGCTTCAGAAGCTGGTAATGAGAATGAGAAATTAAACCACTGCAAGCAAAGCTGTTTGTTCTCCAGCTTGGTTTCTGTCAGCTTGTCAGTCTATCCCAGACATTGACAGGATAGCTTTGCAATCAAATGGACCCGATGTGAATTCATGCATCTGCCACTTGTTAGCTGGAAGAACTAAGACAGTTATCTAACTCCTCTGCGCTCCTCATCTGTTAAGTGGAGACTGTGATGAAGGTGTTAATGACAGTGGAGGTAATGGTGGTTAATTTAATCGTGGTAATGGTAGACATGGAAACCTTCCTTCTAGACGCTTAAAGTCCATGACTGAGTCTTAAAATTACACTAGCATAAGAAAAATCCACAGTAGAAAAGCCTACAAAAATCTACTTAGTATTTTATGTATATAAGGCCATCCTTACACACACAAAGACCCTAAGACGAAGTTAAGACTGACAGTTTAAATATTTTTTTTGTCAGTCATTGGGCTTGAACTCAGGCCCTGGGTACAGTCTGTGAGCTCTTCTCACTCAAGGCTAGTGATTTACTATTTTGAGCCACAGTGCCACTTCTGGTTTCCTGGTGGTTAATTGAAGAGAAGAGTCTCATGGACTTTCCTGCCCAGGCTGGCTTTGAACCCTCATGCTCAGATCTCAGCCTCCTGAGTAGCTAGGATCACAGCTGTGAGCCACCAGCCCAGCAAGTTTAAATACTTTTCAAACAAATGAACAACCAAAAGTAAAATGTATGTGAAGAAGTTACAAAATAGTTTGCTAAGAGCAAATTGTAGAACCGTAACTAGAAGTCACAGTAAAAACCAATGGTTTGTACAGACAGACTCTGACATCAGCTCTTGGTCACTGGTGATAAGAACATTCTACTCTTCCTGGGAGAGCAAGAGCCCCGTCTTCATTAGTAAATTCTATGACCTGCTTTTAGACAGAAAGCAGGAGGTCAGAGAATCTTTTATTCCTCAAGTACCTTCAACCAGAAAAGAAATTCAATATGCCTAACATATATCTTTAAGTGGCATCTCTGAACCCCTTCAGAGATGGCAGTGGTGGTAGTGGTGATGGGTGGTGGTGATATCGATGATAGTGATGGTGATGATGGTGATTATGATGATGATAACTGTGCTGATGATGTTAACGATGATGGCGATCGCTGCTGCTGATGGCAGTGATGACTGTGATGATGAAGGTGGTGGTAATGACGGTGTGGATGAGGGCATTGACCAATGGTGATGGTGATTATGATAGTGAAGATCATGGTGAGGCTGGCAGTGATAACTATGATGATGATGATAGTAATGACAGTGATGACGGTGGCAATGATGATGATGATAATGGTGGTGGTGGTAGTGATGACAGCGATAATGACTGAGGTGATAATGAATGACAATGACTCAGCAGAGGGGTGCCACTTACTATCTTGGTGACCCTGAACACACCATTTTTCTTCTAGCAGCTCATGTGTCTTACAAGAGGGTTGCAGCAATGAGATCTCTGCTGCCCTTAGATCTGCTTTTTGGAGGTATAAGAACAACCAACATGTTCTGGGATGAACAGATAGTGAAGACAGGACTGACACTAGGGTTCTGGGGCCTCAAGGAAGCCAAACCGAAGGGCTGCCATGTGGGGAGAAGGCCGGGATGGTCACAGATGTACAGCTATTCCCTTCTCATTTCCCTAGGAGACGCGGTTTGTGGATGGAAGAACCATTTTGCAGTGGGATATCTTTGCCTCCAATGGGATCATCCATGTCATTTCCAAGCCTCTAAAAGCACCTCCTGCCCCAGCAGTGAGTATCCAAGTTTCACTGTGAGGGGCCAGAAAGAACCAGAAAGAACCTAGTATCTACTGTCTAAGCTGCTACTGGAAGCCTTCTCCACCAGCTCCCTCCTATCAGGATTAGAGAACCTCCCACGCCCCCCCCCCCCCCCCCCGCTGTGGGGGCTAGCTTTCAGGATGCTCCACCCTGGCTGGTCTGCAACCCAGCACCTGCCACCAGGTTGAGGAAGGATGAGCCAAAGGAGGGACCACAAGGAGCCAAAGGAACTTTGCAATGGCCTCTCTACTCTACGCTACCTGGGAGCTCCAACTTCCTCATCCGCAACATTGGGGCTCCTTCTTTGAAAAGAACTGAGCCCAAAACTATAAAATACAAAGTTCCTGGCACATAGGACAGGCTCTCAAAAGTTGGCTGTCACTGTTGTTGTTAGTATTCTAATTGTTTCCCAGAAGCAGGAAGGAGGGGGTAAACTGCTAGCTGCCGGAAGGCTCCATAACATAGTAGTTAGGCACATCAGCTCCAAAGCCAGACTAGGTCTGTGTGATCCTGGGTAAGTGCCTAACCTCTCTGTACCCCAGTTTATCAGCATAATAAAGGAAACAATCATAATTTCCCTGTCTTTGAACTACTGTAACACCTAAATGGGGTTATTTCAGTTAAAGGGTTTAGAACAACCCTGCCAGTAATTGGGGGTGAGGGGGGGTGGATACATATTACCTTACCATCAGTTTTTCTCTCAGTTACACCAAGATGCCTGGGATCAGCAAGAGGAGGTGAACTTCAGAAGTGCACCTCTCTGGAAGAATCTGCTTCCCAAAATGACCTCTCTCTTTTCTGCATTCAGACTCACTCTGGCTTGGGAACCGGGATTTCCTTCACCATCATCCTGGTCATCGCAGCAATTGCTCTGGCTGCCTATTCTTACTTCCGGCTAAACCGGAGAACAATTGGCTTCCAGCATTTTGAGGTAAGAAAAGTGGGGACACAATCACAGGTGTTGCCTTAGTTCATTTCCTGTTATTCTCACAGATAGTGATAGTAACCCGGGCTGTTACGATCAACCCAGTGATAGATTGGCTGAGTGATGTATTTAACAACAAAGAAAGATTTAGACTTACAGTTCTGGTGGGCGTCTCACAAATCCAGGAGCTGGGAGCTTGCATCTTCTCAGCTACCAGTCAGGGCCTTGTGCTGCTCCAGCTGGGGAGGAAAGCTGCAAAAGAAGCAAAACAGCCAGGCGCTGGTGGCTCACGCCTGTAATCCTAGCTACTCAGGAGGCTGAGATCTGAGGATCCCGGTTCAAAGCCAGCCCGGGCAGGAGAGACCGTGAGACTCCTATCTCCAATAAACCACCAGAAAACCAGAAGTGGCGCTGTAGCTCAAGTGGTAGAGCACTCGCCTTGAGCTGAAGAGCTGAGGGACAGCGCCCAGGCCCAGAGTTCAAGTCCCACAACCGACAAAAAAAAAAAAAAGAAGCAAAACAGCAGAGACACCTCCCTTTCTGACACCCCACCCCAACGTGGAAACTCAGTCCTGCAAGAGTAAGAGCTTATTACAAGGCATTCACTTCTTTGAATAACCTAATCGCTTCTTTAAAAAAACAAAAACCCCTGGGCTGGCAAGGTGGCTCAGTGGTAGAGTGCTTGCCTTGCATGCATGAGGCCCTGAGTTCAAGTCCTCAGCACTACATAAGCAGAAAAAGCTGAAGTGGTGCTGTGGCTCATGTGGTAGAGCGCTCGCCTTGAGCTGAAGAGCTGAGGGACAGCGCCCAGGCCCAGAGTTCAGGCCCCACGACCCACAGGAAAAAAAAAAAAAATTTCCTCCAACAATAGTGATCACATTTCAGTGTGCTCACAAAGGGACAAACCACATGGGGTCTGGGCTACCTCTACGGACCCAGGGCCTCACTCAGGAGCCAGTACTTGATACACCAGCAAAGGTGGCCATCCTGCCCCTTGGCTCCTGCCTTCTGGGTGGAGTCTCTTCCCCTACATGACCCACAATGGCAGATCCAAGCCTCTCTTCCTTGCTGAGGCAGAGTTTGGTAAGGAGTAAGAGCTCCTAGGTATAAGCTGCCTCCCACCCCTCCCCCACCCCCAGCCTCTGTGCCAGGGGTTTGGCTTGAGACAAATTCACCAGAGTCCCATGGAGTCACCATTCATCTGAGGAGGCCCACTCTCCTGGGAAGGTTTTTCAGGCAAGTATCCACCAGGATGGACTTGCACTGCAGGACTTGTCCCTAAGGCTCAACACCACCACAGGCCCTCCCATTACAGGAGGCTTAGAACTTGTTCTGCTCTGTTCGCATGGTTGAGTGCCTCTCAGGTCAACAGCAAGATGTTGAGCTGACCAGCAAGTGACCTGTGTGTCAGTCACTTTCCATTACTGTGACAATTTAAAAAAAAAATGAGATCACTACAACTTACATGGAAAAAACCCACTCATTTGTCTCCTGATTTCTGAGGTTTCAGCCCATGGCGCCATGGCCTTGGGCCTGTGGTAAGGCAGTAAGGCAGGAGCACGTGGTAGAAAATTGCTCACCTCGGTGACTAGAAGCAAAAAGAAAGAAAGATGAGGAGAAGCCAGGGCTTCGATATCTCCCTCAGGGGCCCAGTCCCAATAACCAAACTTCCTCTTCCCAGGAGTAGCATGGACTAAGGTCTAAGCCTACAATAACTACATGGACAGAAATGGAAATAGAAGGATCACAGTCTGTGATCACAGGATCACAGTCCCAACCCAGACTGGGCAAAAGACCCTATCTGGAAGAAAAGAAAAGAAAAAAAGCAAAAGGGCTATGGGAATGGCACAATGGTAGAGCACTTGCCTAGCAAATAGGAGGCTCTGCCTTCAAATTCCAGTACATAATAGGACAAAATTCCCAGAGGCAGAGGATGGCTTGCTGAAGTCAGTACTGGCTCTCAGCCCCTGTGCTCATCTCTCTGAGCAGTCAGAAGAGGACATCGATGTTGCAGCTTTTGGCAGACAGCAGTCTGAGAATATCTCGAACCCCACGTATGAGAGCGCAACCTCAGAACCCTCAGAACCTTCCTACGATCCCTTCATGGTGAGTTAGCTCTTTCATCAGGTTTGGGGTTCAGGTGGGTCCAAAAGCACCTATTCTGTAAATCTCAGGGTTCTTCTGAGGAGATAGCAGAAGTCATGCACAATCAAAGTAAAGGACTAAGAGCTTCCTGCCCCCAATGTCATGACCAGTTAGTGTCACAACAAAATGAAGTGACATTCTTGAGCAGAAATACTACTATAAACGCTAACATTTATGAGGTGGCAGGTGCAAAACAAGACACAAGGCCTTCTAAGAAGGGTTTTTCTTTCAGCTATCCTTTTTTAAAACTTATATGCACATAGGTTTCTCCACCTGCTGGCAGACTGCTTCTTGCTTTGGGAACTACTTTTATTTTATGTATTTATTTATTTTTGTCGATTGTGGGGCTTGAATTCTTGGCCTTGGCGCTGTCCCTCAGGTCTTCAGCTCAAGGCAAGCACTCTACCACTTGAGCCACAGCGTCACTTCCGGTTTTCTGAGTGGTTTATTGGAGATAAGAGTCTCATGGACTTTTGTGCCCGGGCTGGCTTTGAACCATGATATTCTGATCTCAGCTTCCTGAGTAGCTAGGATTACAGGCCTAAGCCATGGGGGCCTGGCTGGAACTACTTTTCTTTTTTTGGGGGGGGAAGGTGCATTTGTTGGGCCTGAACTCTGGGCGCCACTTCCGGCTTTTTTATTTTTGCTTATGTGGTGGTGAAGAATCGAACCCAGGACCACACGCATGCAAGGCAAGCACTCTACCACCGAGCCACCTTCCCAGCCCTGGAACTACTTTTTTTAATGGGGCCTTTTATATCTATCTAGGTGGATAATCTGCTCTGGTCCTTCCTGAAATGCGGACTTATTTCTAGAGTTAATTCACACTTGAGCTTAAATGGGGCTTCCTCTGACTTCCATCTAGGGGATCCCATGGCAGGAGACCCTAAATGTGAAAGATACATTTGTCCATGAGTTCTCTCCTTCTCCCTCCCTCTCCTCTTTCCTCTTTTATGACAGTAGTAGGGCCTGAACTGGGTGTTGTCCCTTAGCTTTTTTGATGAAGGCTGGCCCTCTACCACTTGAGCCACAACTCCACTCCTTCCTTCCTATTCTGAACTGAGAACTATTCTATTCTATCTGTTCCCCAGTCCTATTCTGGACCAAGGAAATGAACTTAGTGTGTGCGTTTTGTGTGTGTGATTACGCACGCACATGCGTGCGCATGTGTGTGTCAGTACTGGTGCTTGAACTCAGGACCTCATCTTCTCACTTCATTTTTTGTCTCAAGGCTAGAGCTACAGCACTTGAGATATACCTCTAGTTCCTTAATTTTTCCTCTTCTGTAACAATCAGAAAACTGAAAGCCAGTGTCCTTTTTTATTAGCTTGACTGGCTCAGCAGCCAGCCTTCCTGAGGACCAAGGAAAACACACTTGAATCTGGGCTTGTGTATATCTAACCCTCATGCAACACTAACCAAATCAGGTAGCTGCTATGATTGTCTCATGCATACACCTGTATTAGTCCCCACCAGAGCCATATTTTAGATACTAAAATTTAACAAATTGGCGACAAATGATGACAAAAATGATTTCATGCACTATTTTTAAGCTTGTATAACAATGCAATCAGCATTATTATTTTCCTGAAGTAAACCAGCATGAATATCCTGTGGCTCTTTCTGCCAGTAGTAGCAGATTTAATATCTTTGCAATACCTTGGGAAGTAGCCAGATCATCAATTTTACTTTGTTTAAATCTGTGTAGAAGTGGTCTAGATTTCAAGGGTGAGTTCAGCTAAACTGCATGTATCAACTAATAGGAGTTTACTTCTGCAGGCCTCATTATATTAAAATCAGCATCCTTTTAAAAAGCAGAGGGAAAACGAGCTCCGTGCCTTCTCAACTAAGTGTTCTTCTCCAAGGGGTCTCTATCAGCTCTGTGCATGAACCGAGATAGACTATTGTAGAAGCAGGATTCCACTATACCTGTTCAGACCAGGTGGCACACATGTTTTGGTAACAGGAATCCTGACAGTTAGGAGGCTGGGGATGTGGGGTGTGGCTTCTATTTGCAGTCTCCTCAAAACTCACCAGCAACCCATGTGCCAGGCTCAGGATGTATGTCTTAACCTGAAAGGTTTTTGTTTTTTTTTTTGGTCGGCTGTGGGGCTTGAACTCTGGGCTGGGCGCTGTCCCTCAGCTCTTCAGCTCAAGGCGAGTGCTCTACCACTTGAGCTACAGCGCCACTTCCAGTTTTCTGGTGGTTTATTGGAGATAGGAGTCTCACAGTCTCTCCTGCCCAGGCTGGCTTTGAACCGCGATCCTCAGATCTCAGCCTCCTGAGTAGCTAGGATTACAGGCGTGAGCCACCAGCGCCCGGCCTGAAAGAAGTTTTTATGGTCATATTAATCACCACCTTTCACAGGGTGCCTGTCTGGCTAAATGTAGAATAGAATCCTCACACCTCCATAGGAAGCGAAGACTATGCAGCCTGTGTTGAAAACCACATAGGCAACAGCAAATAGAGCCAGCACGGCCCCATGAGCAGTCCTCCCTACCACCCAACCCCACCTCCAGACATGCAACAGCCATTTCCCACCCTGTGTGCTCAGAAGAATCATGGTTTAACCCTCAGATCAGAGGGCTAAAAGAAGGTTCAACCTAGGAGGGGAAAATGTGCTCCCTGGCAAGTGTTTTGCTGCTCTGGGGTGCCCCCTGTGACTGTTTCATTGCCCTGTCTCTTCCAGGATGCTGACGAACAGCAGGTGGAGAGCAGCGATCCCTTAGGGGCGCTGTGAGAGCCAGAGGGAAGCAGCCAGCCACGGCAGCCATGTGGGCCACCACAGCATGGTCAAGGCTCCACAGTAAATCCTCAGCACCAGAGGCTTCTGACAAATGTAGGGTCTTGGGGCATCTTTAACAAAGAAGCTCTCAGAAGCTGTACCTCGTTTCTTTTGTTTGGGAGTTATTCTGTGAGTGAGTGGGGGATGCAGTTACAAAGTCTACCAGGGGGACTTTTCCCTCCTCTGAGCCTCTACTGTGTATCTTTGTACCTTCAGCTGATTCTACATTCTTCCCTACATGATGAGTAACTGAGATCCTGTCTTATTTCCTACTAGATTGTAAGCTCCTGAGGACGAGGGACTGGCCTCCCTCAGCCTCATATCCCAGCACCATGCCCGGCATGTGCAATGTGCTCAATAAATAAAGTCAACAAGACAAAGTGAGCATTTCAGGGAACAAAACACCATCCCAGGAAAGGAGCAAATATTGAAAACAAAATCCATTTGTTTGAGCTAATTTTCAATTAGCCATCATATCTTGCTTGATGAATTCTTGCTTCATTCAGTTTTGTTTTCTTGTTTGTGTGTTTAAAAAGACAGAGCCAGTCAGGTGCCAGTAGCTCATGTCTATGATCCTAGTCACTCAGGAAGCTGAGATCTGAGGACTGCAGTTCAAAGCCAGCCTGGGTAGGAAAGTCCATGAGATTCTTATCCCCAATTAGCTACCCCCCCAAAAAAGCCAAAAGTGGAGCAGTGGCTCAAGTGGTTTGGTATTAATCTTGAACACTAAAGCTCAGAGGCCCTGAGTTCAAGCCCCAGAACCGGTACCAAAATTAAGGACATACCCACAATGAGATGCCATGCCACACCCACTAAGAAGGCTATAATTAGTAGTATGTAGAGAAACTGGGACCCTCATGCTTGGCTGGTAAGAATGTAACACGGTACAGCTACTATGGAAAACTGTGGCAGTTCCCCCACAAAGCCACATACAGGATTACTGTATGACCCAGAAATCCTACTCCTATGTATATATGCCCATGAGAAATGAAAACATCCACACAAAAGCCTACATATGCATGTTCATAATATCATTATTCTTAACCGACAGAAGTAGAATCAATACCAGGTGTGGTGGTATGTACCTGTAATACCAGCCACTGAAGAGTCAGTAAAAGGATCCTGGTTTGAGGTTAGCTGGGGCAAAGTTAATACAAGACTATTTGAAAAACAAACTAGGGCATGGCTCAAGCAGTACAGTATAACTGCAAGGCCCTGAATTCAGTACTCAGTAACACACACACAAGGGAATTATCATCTGATAAATGAATGATCAAACTGTGATAGTTCATATAATTAATCCCTTTTTTTAAAAAAAAAAAGTCCTACTATGTGCAACAATATACACGAACCTGACATTATATGTAAAAGACAAAATAGGTTCGCACTATGTAGCTTAGGCTGGCTTTAAACTTTCCATTCTCCTGCCTCAGCCTCCTGAGTGCTGGGATTTTAGGCATGTGCCATCATGCCCAACTATGCTACTTATTCAAGAGATCGTTGGGCAGAGGGAGGAAAGGTTAGGAATGGAGGGGAAACTTGAAAAACACTAATGCAACCACACTTAAAGAAGAAAGGTGAGGCCTAGATACACTTAGTAGTTACATGGGCTGGGGTAGAAAAGCTAATAAAATATCAAGTTCAAACCTCTCAAATAAACAAAACATACAAACATGCAAACATACTACCAAAAAATACTCATTAAAAAATATAACTCTCTAGGCATCAATAAATTTTCCTTATCCAGCCTTTACAATAAAACTCTATTTTGTCCATCTTATTGAAAAGTAATGATCAGGGCTGGGAATGTGGCTTAGTTGGTAGAGCGCTTGCCTGCATTCATGAAGCCCTGAGTTTGAGTCCTCAGTACCACATAAACAGAAAGATCCAGAAGTGGTGCTGTGCCTCAAGTGGTAGCATGCTAGCCTTGAGCAAAAGAAGCTTAGGGACAGTGCCCAGGCCCTGAGCTCAAGCCTCAGGACTGGAAAAAAAAAGAAAGAAAGAAAAGAAAGTTAATTATTACATAGAAAATAAATCAAAAGTGTAGAGTGAGCATATTTTGTCAAAGCCTCTAGGACTTTTTTTCCCCTAACAAAACTAAATAAAAATAAACCAAGCTGGGGGCTGGGAAGGTGGCTCAGGGGTAGAGTGCTTGCTTTGCATGCATGAGGCCCTGGGTTCGATTCCTCAGCACCACATAAGCAAAAAAAAAATCCAGAAGTGGTACTGTGGCTCACGTGGTAGAGCGCTAGCCTTGAGCTGAAGAGCTGAGGGACAGCGCCCAGGCCCAGAGTTCAGGCCCTATGACCAGACCAAAAAAAAAACCAAAAAACAAAAAACAAAAAAAAACCAAGCTGGGTGTTAATTGCTCACACCTATAATCCTAGTTACTTACGAGGCTGAGATCTGAGGATCAAGGTTTGAGGCCAGCTCAGGCAGGAAAGATGTGAGACTCTTCTTTCCAGTGAAATAACAAAAAAGGCCAGAACTGGAGGTATGGTTCAAGTAATAAGAGCATCAGGCTTGAGCTTTTTAGCCAACGAAAAACGTGAGCCTTAAGTTCAAGCCCTAGTACCAGCTTACAAAAGAAACAACAACAACAAAAACAATCTGGACTTTTTCGTTTTGTTTTGAGTCCCAGCTTTCCTGGTAACAAACCACAAACAAGCACGTGGCCTCACACCTCTCCCTGGTCCCCAGCGGGCTGCTCCCTGTGGAACTGCACTAGGGCCACCTGCCCCTACTGGAGGTGGTGCTCTCACCGAATCTCTGGACCCTTTCTCTCAGAATAACCTTTGGGGAGCCCATTACAGTGTTTTGCAGTTCTGAAACGTGAACGCAGAGCCTTGTACACTGCCCCTGCACTCTACCACCGAGCTGCACTCTGAGCATTGTTGGTTTTTTTTTAAGTCCAGATGCATTATTATTTTTTAAAGTGCAAATCTTATTTCTTCTCGCAGAAATAACCTCAAGTCCTGGGGAAAGGCATGTTTAGAAAAGGACCCTGTGGGCTCACTAGAATCTAATACGCCCTAGCCAATGACGTCAGCATAGGCAACAAACCACTTAACAAGTCGGGTGGTACAGTTCAAACTTTTATTTAGTTATGAGTTCAATATCAGCACATAAAATCAACATTTAGAATAAATAGCGAATTCACATGGAGAATAAATAGGGAGCCTACCTAACTTGCATTTACCGTGCTTGACATCACATTCCACCACACAGGAAACAGCCTCCTCCACTTCTCCCTACACTTCTAGAAGCGCAAGGAAGCCCTGTCCAGGGCAGCCCTGGAGGCAGAAGGGGCTTCACGGAGGGGAGGAGGGAGTGGAGGGGGCCCGCGGTGGGGACATGGATGTTGGTGGGATCAACACCTGGGAAGGAGATGGAGAGGAGGCCAAGGAGGGGAGACTGAGGGAAGGAAGCAAGCCAGTGCTGGGCTGCAATGAGGACACACAACACCCTCTCACAGCTGTCCAGAGTTAGGTAGGGTGGGGCCCTGTGTTTCCAAGGAGCAAAGGTTATATAGCTTTTACCCCTCCCCAGGAAGAGTATGACCTGGGAAGAGGCAGAGCCACAGAAGAAGGCTGTGGGCTGTGAGTGGTCAGTTAGCCAATGCCCATCAGTTAGGGCAGTTGAGTCCTTCTGTGCACACAGGTTATCTGGGCAGCTAGGCCCAGTGGCCAACAGGAGCAGGTACAAAGAGAGATAGCTCAGGTACCCACCGGGAAGTGATCTTGACACATGCTGCAAACAGGGCACTTTACCTCTGTCATAAATAGCAGCCTGACTCTTAAAGGAATATGGCACACTTACCTACAGACCTTTCCGACTCTCTGCACCCTCTCAGCAAGGGACTGCCACCAACACCAACCACCCATCCGACATCAGAGCAGAGACCAGCAAACCACAGCGAAGGGCCCAATTCAACCCACAGCTTACTTTGGTAAACCAAGTCACAACGGAACATAGCCCTGGCCATTCCCACAGGAAAAACAACAGCAAATGGTGTTCAAAGCTCAAAACATGACCTATCTGGTTAGGGAGCCCTTTCTGGAGGAAATTTACCTGCTGCTTTCCATTTATTTAACCTACCACTGGGGACAAGAATCAGCTGAACTTTTAAGTCCAGTTCCCAAATACTAAGGCAAAGCGGGGAAAGGTACAGAGGGAAACTGATGTGAAGAGAAAATAACACAGGGCTCCCCAGTAATTGAATAGAGCTATTAAGGAACCCTGTATGCATCTGGCCAAATTTAGTCTTCAGGCCTCCGACCGGGTCTTTGGCAGCCAATGAGTACTGGCGAAGAAGAATTCAATCCAACTGCTTAGCTCACTCTTTACCACTTAAAAGCTTAAAAGTCCTACTGAGAGGAAAAGAGAGGAAAAGCCACTCATTCATCTGACCCAAAGCTAAATTAGGTAGGAGGCAAGATTATTCTCTCTTTTTCCTTGGCAAACATTAAGAAAGTTCAGTCAAAACAACTGGTAATTTAGTCTGAGACGAGCCCGGAATCAAAAGCAGTGGTCTGGGCTACATGGAATTAATGGTAGGAGCAGAGAATGAAGCTGAAGACAGAGAGAAAGGGAAAGATGGAGAGAGATGGAGAAAGACAGAAAAAGAGAGGGAGGTGAGTGGGAGAAGAGAAAGAAGAAAGACAGGAAGGGAGAAAGGCAGGGAGAGACGAAGGCAGGAAAGCAGGAAGGGACAGGGGACCATGTTCAGAGCTAAGTGGGAATTTAAAAACAAACATGGAAAAGACTTTAAAAGCCAAGTTTCCTCTACAAACGACTCATCAGCAGCGTAGGTCCCTTCCACAGGCACTTGCTATGCTGCCCGGGGCCTGGCTGCTCTGTCACGCTGGCCTGGGCTGCCCCCTGCACTGTGAATTTTTATCCACGCGAATTCTTAGAAAATCACTCTAAGCAATGTTAAAACATTTAAAGCTCTTAATGTACAAACCAATTTTGTTTGCTTTACAGTTGACTTTTTTTTTTTTTTTGTCAGTCCTGGGGCTTGAACTCTGGGCTTGGGTGCTGTCCCTGAGCTCTTCAACTCAAAGCAAGCGCTCTGCCACTTGAGCCACAGCCCCTCTTCCAGTTTTCTGGTGGTTAACTGGAGATAAGAGTGTCACAACTTTCCTGCCCAGGCTGGCTTTGAACTGCAATCCTCAGACCTCAGCCCTCTGAGTAGCTAGGATTACAGGCGTGAGCCACTGGTGCCTGGCGACATTTGATTTTTTTGGATAACAGAAAAGACTCCTGGCCTCATACCCACACTTGCATCCATGTGCACCCCAAGAGCTCACTAGAAAGTGCAAGATGCCCAGTACAGTGGAAAGCCAAGACAGTGATTAGCTAACACCTGTCCTGATGGATCCAGCCAAGGACACACCGAGAAGTGGGAAGACATCCCCGTCCTGACCCACCCCCAGCGCGTGGGGTTTGGGTTTGCTTCTTCACTGGTACAGACTTGGTGGCCCCTGTTGCTACATGCACTGGGCCTCTGCCATGCGGCAGATCTCAGCCATGTC